TGCATATTCTACGCGTAGTAATCCAACGCGTAATAATGCAACGCGTGGTAATTCTAAGCGTAGGAATCTAATGCGTGGTAATCTAACGCGTAATAATCCAGCATGTGGATATCCAGCGCGTAGTAATCCAACGCGTGGATATTCGACGCGTAGTAGTCCAACGCGTAATAATCCTTGTGCTCTCCAAACCCCATTTCTGCAAAAAGAAATCTTATTTAGAATCGCTTTAGCTACCTCTCATTTCAAGGACCCACACTTGTGAGACACTCTGTACATCTCCATACTCAAAGGTTGAATGTACAAACTTTTTATTTATTCTAATTATTCCTGATGTCTCTATATTTTAGACCTATGAATTTGTTATATAATACAACTAAAAAAATGACAAGGATTTAAATTCTCCTTTATAATTATTATTTACATATCTTTTTATCTAGATGAAAAATTCACAGAATTTTTAAAAGAGTTCCTGAACCTTTAATTCAATAAAACTAAAAAAGAAAGATTGTATAGAGTGCATCGACAGGCGGATACGCGACAGGAAAAAAGGAAGATACATACTCTTGATAGTTTTTCAATGTGGCGTTTTAGAACTTCCGGTACGTTGCGTAGAACCAATCGATCTGATATTCTATTAATAAGTCAGACTCGATTATCCCGGACGATAATCTTCCCGCGAAGTAGGGTGTATTGTTTGATTATTTTATAATAGACCGTCGATAAGTTTTTTATATGTTAACGACAGGAAAAGCCGATTCTGCATACCGTGTATGCTGATTATATTTTTTCTACCGATAAGAATCTCCTCGTGATCTTCTGTGATTTTTTCATTTTGTAAATATATTTGTAAATTGTTACGGTTGTAACGATATGAATGTGATGTATATATTATATGTTATATTTCGATGTACATATGTACATACGCGGATAAAGAGAATCGAATGTTCGATGATACATATACAATTATTCACAAAATGTACACTGTCAACGTATTGATAATATAATTTGATGATAGAGAGTCATTCTTCTTCATTGGTGTTAGCTGAGTACCATTTGCCTCCTTTCATATCTTACTGCTTCAAATCTGAAAAATTTTTAATTATTAGTGTCAAATTTTTAAATTAACAATCCTTAAATTTTCAAATTACTAAGTTTCTAAACTCTCAAATCCTCAAATCCCCTAGATTCTAAATTCTCAAATTCCCAAATTCTCTAGTTCCCCAATTCTCAAATCCCCAAATCCCCTAGATTCCAAGCTCTCAAATCCCCAAATTCCTTAGTTCCAAAATTCTCAAATCCCCAAATTCCTTAGTTCCAAAATTCTCAAATCCCCAATCTCCCTAGTTCCCAAATTCTCAAATCCCCAATCACTCTAGTTCCCAAAATCCCAAATTCCAAATTTCCAACTTCCCAAATTGCAAATTTTCCAAATCTCCAAAGCCTCAAACTCCCACTTCACAACTCTTCAAATTCCAATATTTTTCCTCTTACCTACACATCCCATAAATATGCACCAAATTTTGTGAGTAATTGTATATACACATAATTGTATTTCAATTTTACGAACGTTGCTATCTTAAGGCACAACAATATAAAAGAGGAAGTGGAAACATTACTTTTATTGTTACTCGGAAGGCGTAAGCCACGTTCGTTATAATAAAACGCGAAGTGGATCATAATATCGCGGTGACGAGGTATTAACACTTTAGCTTAAGGGCTTCACGGGAATACCTGTGACCCTTTGGCTAGCAACCGCTTCCGGTCGCCGGGTCTCTGTTATGTAATTGACGAGATTAAATGCAAAGGGGGTGCAAGTTATGCCTTACTGTACGGTTCAACGCTCAAATAACTGTTAGTGCCAAAAACATATGACTAATTTTGTTAATAAGTACTTCTCAAGTACCCACTCATATTTTAATAATTAAGGCAGTCTATAGTTTAAGAGATATTTAACACCAAAGTTACGGTCTTTATATGCTCAATTATAAAGCGGAAGTCGAACGAAATGAAATTGGAGAAACCGTTAAAACGTTGGATTAGAAAACCAAAATTGCTTTTTTGAGCGCGAGTTCAAATCTTCGCGAAGGAATTTTCCTTTTTTTTAATACTCTCTTTTCATAACTATTTAATTACAATATTTTATAACTGTTTAAGCGTAATTAGAATTTATGAATTTCAAAAAACACGTTTTAAATTTATTTGTGTGATTATCGCAATCGAACGAGGGCACTTGGGGCGTTATTTTTAAATATTTCCACGTATCTTACTCCTTTTGCAATTAGTACGGTCAACGACCCTTTGTCACCTGTAATTCTGTTATTTTTTGCAAAATTTTTCAAATAGATATTCTTAACGTTATTACAGATTTGTGTAACAGAAATTATGAAAGGATCTCACCTTTATTCTGCCAAAAATGGCAAGTCCTTTTCCAACAAGCGCCCTCTTTTGTAAAAGCTTTGTAGTTGAAAAGTTTTTCGCTGCAACGTATATGGATAGGTTATTTATATCATATTTCTTGATATTCAACGTATTCTGTTATTATTAAGCGTATCATAGAGCAACACATTAATCATGATACAGTGCATTAACTGCAGTGTATCGTTTTGTGTTGCGTACGGTGAAAATGGAACATTGTACCATAATTAATTTCTATTTGAACTGCGTATCCGCATGGCCGGCTTCCAAATGTATTTGCCAACAGTAGGAACATTGTTGCGAGTTTTGTCTTGTTTGCTTTAGGCAGTTTATGGTTAAAACATCGCAACAGAGATGCGCACGTTCAAGGGTTGCTGCAGTTTTAATTAACACATTAATGACCAGAGTCGAGGTACACGAAATATTGTATTTTTTGTCGCCAATTTTTTTCGCTATTTCGAGTACGTGATATTTTTAAAAATTTCTAGATCGTAAAGCGTTCGAATTTTTCAATTTAGAAATTTCAAATTTGACAGTTTAGAAATATAAAAAATCAGGAGTTAGAAAATTAGAAACGTAGAAGCTCAGAAACTTAGAAATTAAAAATTTGTTAATTCTTACCAACTTTATTGGTGACAGTTGACAATCGAAGCTATATACAATTCCATTCATATAACTCTGATTGCAACTTTTTGCCGTTCTACAGCCGCGTGCAGTGGAAGCACTCTTCTGAAAATACATTGTTGACCTCTAGAAATTCTATCGAGTTAAAATTTGTACCATGACTGTTTTACATTTTAGTACGTAACCTTTTGTCGTGATCGTCGCAGAGTGCGCTGAAGTTACGCCAGTTTGATCCTTGTCGGTAATTCAGATTCATGGATATTGACGGATTTGAAAAAATTCATTGAGCGACCGTTAAAACGTTCGATGACATTCGACGTTTTTCAATTTCGAACAAACGACTGCAATTTGTCCACTTTAAGTCCGATAATCCCTTTGTTGGCAACGGTAACTTTATTGAATTTCGTTTCCTTTTTTTGTTCGAACGTTTAATGAATATTGAACTTGTAAGAACTTCGATCGTAGATACATAAATTTCGTTTGTAGGAAAGCGGAGACATTTAGAAGGATTGTATAATTACTTAACCTATATGTCCTCCATTTTGAAGAAAATAAGTGACAAGTATTTTTTGAAGGGGAGGAGTAACACAATAGATAGTAATGAGGTATGAATATACGAAATATTGAAATATTTTTTCGATATAGAAAATAACGAGTAATTTGTAATATACGTAACAACGATCGACAGATGAAAAAAAATTCGAATTTCTAGATTGAATGTGAAAGGGCGTTTTATTAACGGAAATTTTTTGCAATATAGATTCTTTGTGGAGTGAAGAATGACGTCACAAAAGAAATATTATTTCAGTTTTCAATGAGTTCTCCGTTCATATTTGTTAGAGAAGAATCATCAAGGTAGAATAAAGGAAATAACACAATTTAAAGCGAACGATAAATATCTCTGAAAGAAAACCACCGGACAGCGGTACATAAATACAAAACGTACTATACTACTAAAATTATTTTTATAATACAGAAATGATTTATTTTATTAATTCCGTTCATTTTTCATTTCCCCTTCTTAGGGAACAAAATTAGAGCACCAGAAAACCACGGAGATTGCGTGCGAACGTCGTTACAGGTGTGGTTCATATTTCTAATCAACTTAATGCACCCTCATTAATTAATATATAAATTTCCGTGCAGGATTCTTTCAAAGCTACGGTAGTATTATGAGGTTTTAATTACTAAAAACAACCTAGTTCCCTTCCATACTGTCGAAAACTTAAAAAATTCAGCTTTCTAAAGTACACGAAAAATCGCATACACTTATTTCGATTATAACCTTAATTTAATTAAGGCGTCCATTTTGAAACGAAATTTTTTGTGTCTACTTTTTATTGCGCGCAAACACGAAATTTAATTAAGTAATAACACATATGTTACAGATTTTAATCCTCGAATGTTGAAAAAACTGATATCGCTTTACTTTTGACCTATAACTCAATTATTTTTATTTCCATGCGTACGTAAAATATTTTGGTTTTCTAAACGTTAGTTTTCACTCGTTTATCCTGTTCGGATTATTTTCTTGATTCGGTTAAGACCCGGGTCAGACATAACCCGGTATTGACTGAATGATATTTAATAGAGTCGTAAAATAGCTGGATCTAGTGCCGATCGTAAAGGAGGGATTTCTCTGAAAACTGTGACCTGGTTTCTTTAAATTTTGCGCAGCAAAATATCGAAAAGATTTCTGCATCAAATTAGATATTGTGAATCGATCGATGAACCACTTTTTGAAAACGTCCTTCGTTTCTCAATACATATTTGTAATCAATCCCGAGCGAATTAAATTCTGTGCAGCTCGATGAATTTCAGGTACTTGACTCGTTACAAGAAAATTGACCTTCATACATCCGGATAAAGTGGACGCCACTCGAACTCTTCTCCCCTGCACGATGGTTATCAACCATTTTCGCCATTGTACGAATTCTTGGGGAAGAGAAAATTTAACTGACATTATACTTCCAGAGGCTACGTTTGCGTCGCCTCGTCATTTGTCAACAACGTTTACGGAAACGTGCATGTGCATAGCGATGGCATTGATCTTCTCTTCCCCTCCGTGTCATTATAGGCAAAAACGCGGACACCTTGTGAGTACATATTTATCAACTTGTTGACTTTTAAACAGATTAGTGGGGCGATTAGCGTAGCGAAAGCTTCAAATACTTTGTCATGTGACGAAATTTTAGAATCAATCAGTACTCGTTAAAAGTGAAGGACGTTGGACGTATGGGGATATACATATTTAGGGACTTGAGACTTTGAGCATTTGTTGACTTAGAGATTTAGGAATTTGAAAATTAAAAAATTTAAGATATGAAAATTTATCCAACTTGATACTTTATACATATTTCAGAAATTTGATACATGGAATGATCAAAGATTGGTCCAACGTCTAGAGGCTAGAGTCAAGTGAAAATCAGCAAAGTCAACTATTAGATGGTGGGGATATTTCCCCTACATCTCACTTCGGTGAGAAAGTAGGTATGTTAACCGATTGTGGCTCCCGAGCTCCACTTGAACATGCCCAGTTTAACGTATCATTGGAACTATATTCGAGCATCTAAAGAATGCATTGATATTCCAGAATGTCAATAGTTCGCATTTTACTTATAGTAATCAATGCATAGGGCACTTATGAAGAACGTTGAAAACTTTTCCTCGTACTGCAACTAGAATAAAAATACGATCAGTAGTATATGTCAAGCTAATCGAAGCGATTGACCATTAAAAAGCATCCCCATGCCAGGGTAGTGTACACGGATTTGTTAGACCCATCGCTACTACTGTATCTCCACCTTTCGCTCGACGGTGGTTCGGTTGGGTCGATAGAGCCTCTTTTTCTCTCTTTCCCTCTTGATCCCTTTCATATATTGCATCCTTGTTTCAGGGTTCCACTTCCAGAGTCCCACTCAGTAGTGGGGGAAGGAGTATCCAAGCAAGATGGGGAATCGCGAATTCTGTCAGTGGCCTCTCGGACGTGCACGCGTGAAGTTGGTTAACCGTGGCGTTTATTGTTGAGGCCTTTTTTGTCGGTTTGCTACAATTTCACGCGACTTTAACAATTGCTTACTCGAGTGTTGCCGCATTGTTTGACGTATCGTGGTGTGCTCGAAGTGTAGTTCTTCGATGCGGTCGTAAGGTAATGTCTTTCTCGTTTAACTGTAACACAGTGTCGCCGGTGACATGACCAACATTTAAATTAACAATAAAAATTATCTTCAAGTTTATGTGTAATAAACATAACCTATCATCTAAGTCATGTTGGGTAAACTTTATTCGGAATCGATTATTGTAAAATTAATTGGTATCACACGCGACACCATGTTACACGCAAAGAGATTATTAGTGTTGTTGATTTTATTGCATGCTAGTATGTACACCATAGACAGTGTTGTTTTTCTGACACAATCGATGGTACACGTTACAACATTTTCAGACACGAGTTATTATTTGGGGATTAAGATCAGAGATAATACACGAGGTTGAAAGATTTTCGTTGCTGCAAAGGTCAAAGTGCAATCTTAGACGTACGCGCTGTGTTTCTCAGTCAAAACAAATTACGTTAGCGGACGTTGCTCGTGTAGAACGGCACATGACAGGAAAAATTTGTACATAGAGACAAGACTCTCTATGACGTTTGTTGAGTGATCAGATTGTATTTGACTTCTGTCGGAAAAGTTCTTCGATCGATCGAGAAAGTCGGGAGGAAATTCGGTCGAGGCTTTAAGACTCCCGGTATTGTGTAGGGAATCTCATTAAGAACCGTGTTTATTTGATAAAGGAACAGTGGGACGTTTCTTTACGGAAGTTAGATCGACGGGAAGAAGATTACGGAACGGACGCGAATGTCGTTTCAGGATGTAATGAAACGAACAGGAAACGCGATTGATATAATTACCTTTTATCGCGTCATTGGCATATTTTGTTAAAGCAGATACCGAGCGCTTCCGTACTTTTACAAACTTTATATCGATCTTTCATTCACTTGATTCCAACGTTTTTAAACTGATGTGTTGAATAATTTAATTGTTTGTATTATATTTTTATTATTCAAACAACAATCACGATTGTAATTCGTTCGTTTCTGCATAGTTTCGTGTTCCGTGACAGTTTGTATGATGAATAGCAAAATAAGTAGAATAGTATAGATCGCGTACACAACTTGTGCCGAGATTTAAAATGACTTACAGTGTATAAGGGTACAAATTACTTTCTCGCGTTTTGCGTAGACAACCTGAGGGAATGAACAGGATTTCAGAGTTGTATGCAAATAGGAATTGAACATTTAAGCACTTTCTTTGTGACTGGAAGTAGGTGGCAATGTAGACAGGTGCCAGTGTAGATACCAATGTAAATAGATATCAATATAGGTAGTCAATGTGGGTAGATACCAATGTAGCTGGGTAATACTATACATACCAACGTGTTGAGCCAGGTACCTGACAGGTACCTACATAAATAACAAATTATAACATAGGTACAATGATTGATATTGAAGTACATACATTGTACTGTCATAGATATTGCAGTACAGTATCCATTTTGTCTCTATTCATCCATATCTGTTTCTGTGTAAATAGTAAACTTTTCCTCTCTTTCTTTTAGCTTGCAAATCAATAACCGAAATCAACGAAAAACGGAAAGACAAGTCGGAAGCATTCATTGATTGCATCAGAGTAATAGTTTCACCCAAGGATGATTTAATGAACGTCCATCGAATGATTACTCGATACGCATCGTTTTACCGGCGCTTTCCAGCAGCCTAGAAATGAATTAATCTCGGAATTGAGTGGATCGTCGATGACGGGTGTTTTAATAAACGCGCTCTGCCTTTGCTCGCCGGGTAACTAGAAATGTTTATCGAGTCGCATTATTTATTCTTTTGTGTGGGCTTTCGCGAGGTCCCTTTTCCATCTAAACGAGGAACGCGATGAAAGGATTGTATCAGTCGAGGAACCCCTTGAAATTCACCGATTGGAATTAATGATGTTTTTATCTTGTTTCCCTTTTGCTGCGCATCTCCTCGTATCTGAAATGTACTTATCAAAGCAAAAACCAAACTGCTCGGGTCAGGAGGGTTTCAGAAAATTATTTTGTTAGGAAATTCAGTGTCGTGTTTGGATCTAGGCCAGGGACCCTTTGATCATTTAATCGCAGATTTTTTGAGAGGCACTTAGTGCGACGATGTTTCATCAGACATTAGAAGGAAATATTTGTTTAGATTCATATACATTGTAGTAAGAGATTCAGCGAAAAGAACGTAGTTATTGATTAGAAATATGTATAGAGCATGATCATAGAATAGATACAACACTTGTTTTATTGTGGTAACTTCTTGGAAACTTCCAAGAATCTAGTTACGGCTTAAAAGTCATCTAGAACGTTCTATTAACTTTAATTGACCAATTAATCACATAAGAACTCCCGTTGAATCAGCCTACCAATTAGAAATTGCAATTTGCAACACTTGTGTGTAAATGGCGATAAAATTAAGTGTTTCAGTTCAATTTTGAACATGAACTACTTTTAGACCTTGGTAATATCTTTGTTATTTATTTATTGGCTCGTATTCCTGTCACAACTTCTGTCTTCTATCATAGTAATGCTGTCTGAATAAATTTAAAAGTTCTGCCTGTTTGAAGATAAATTTTGTTCCCTATGAAAAATTAGGTGCATTGTCAATTGCACTGGTGTTATAATTTTTTATTAAAACAACACAAAATGTCAACTTATTAATTTTGTAACACAAATTAGAACTTAGTTGCACAGTTATTGATTTTTCTAAATATTTCACAATTACATATACGTGTTTTAAAACTAAAATTACCTTTGATTGAAGTCGTGAAACGCATTTATTCTCTCGTGATTCATTTCGCGGAGGAAGTTCAATTTCCACAGAACTTTTTAGCACGAACGGTTCACCAATCGATGCATTGAAATTTCAATTAAGAAACAGTTGTTTAGCTTCGGGGTCTCATCAGTTTTCATTACCTTATCTCGTTATGGAACTGTCTCTTTATTTTAGCCTTCACTTTCTCTTTCACAGTAATTTATTTTTATATAGAATCGAAAATCTAATGTCAAGTGTCAAGTCAATGTTTTTCTAAAAATAGCTTTACCTTCGATCTTTATGTGATAGCGATTTGTGTGCAGCGGAATATTAATAGAATTACAGTAGATTCTCGTTATATTGCCGCTTGGAAGAGTCTATTGTATACGAAAGAATTTCATTTCATTCTCAAATTAATGTTTGTTAATAAATTATAATATATAACATAAAACTGAAGAATACATTGCAAGATCACATATTTTAGTTGCATCACATATTTATACAAGAATGTGTTATTAAATTATGTAGTTTAAAACAAGATATCCATTCTCTGTTTCAAAGGGTTTGCAGTTAATATACTGCACTATACCTGCATGTCACTAGGGTACATTAGCATTAGGGGTTACACTGTCAACACACGTTACGTTACTATATCTTCCTAAGCTCGTACATGTTATGCACACTGCATCATCGAATCAATGACTCACCTACATGCTACCATTCTTACAATGCACTCTCCCGCCAACTACGAGACTTTTTATAAACTTTCTTTCTTTTATAACTGTAATCAATATGTATCTAATTAGCAGAATGTACATGTTGAACGTATTAAGTTCAGTAAATATACTTGTACTAGTCACTGCATAAATTTCTAAGCAGATTATCAAATCATTTCTTAAGTAGATTAACAAGATTTGAATATCAGAAGTTGAATTTCTGTACATGTATTTTAAAAATGAAAATGGAAATGAAATAACACTGTGATCTAATAGGCTGTTATTTATACATAGTTTTATTAAAGGAGGTGTATGTTTATATCAGTAGAAGTGCAAATTTTCATTGATCACAATCATAATTGCTTCAATTAACATATTTATACTTACATTGTATGTATAATGCATTACTGTATGTATATGTACTAGTGTATGTATACTTTGTTACTCAAATTATATTCAAATATACTTCAGAACATATACATACATTGACCAGCAAGTACATTCAAATTATTTGTATTCAAATATATCTTGAAACATGTACATACATTGACCAGCTAGTGTACTCAAATTATTTGTATTAAAATATATCTTAGAACATATACATACATTGACCAGCAAGTATACTCAGATTATTTGTATTCAAATATACTGTAGAACATGTACATACATTAACCAGCTAGTATACTCAAATTGTATTCAAATATATCTTAGAACATGTACATTGACCAGCTAGTATACTTAAATTGTATTCAAATATACCTTAGAACATGTACATTGACCAGCTAGTATACTTAAATTGTATTCAAATATACCTTAGAACATGTACATTGACTAGCAAGTATATTTATGAATATATAATATATAAATGTCTATAAATGAATGTCTATAAATGAATGTCTATAAATGAATGTCTATAAATGAATGTCTATAAATGAATGTCTATAAATGAATGTCTACAAATGAATGTCTATAAATGAATGTCTATAAAAAGTACATAAAGAACACATTCACTACACAGCCACATATTAATAAAAAAAATCGTATCGCATTCTCATAATAATTTCATCTGTATCATAACAGCTTATCGCATCGCCTCGAATCACGAAACACGCAGCAGCATGGACCAGCTGACGAAACGTTGACGCTTGACGCAAGGATGTTCGGGTGAAGGATCCGCGGGTGGAATCCCCAAGGAATTCGGGATACGCGACCGCTGGTCGATGGTCCTTAAGTTCGTTGATCTCCCGACGAAATCATGCTATCGGCATGCGGCAGACTGGCGCACTTCAAGAAGAGATTAAAGGCTCGCGAGCTGGAGCTTCGAAAAACAAACCGCGTATTCGGTGGATAAGATGAGCAAGAGCGTCGAGCTACTCGCTGGGTCGGAGGACAGTGAACAGATAACAGTGGGTGAGTGTACTCCCCACAAGAATACACTTTTCCTTTGTATTACTCGACTTACGATCTGTACGGATTTCGATACTTTTAAGGATTACACGATGGAAAAGGGAAAGGTGTGTAAAGATTATGAAGAGGAAAGTTAATACTTGAGGTAGATCTTAAGTCATCATTGACTATCATTAGAAGAGATGAGGAAAGTTAATACTTGAGGTAGATCTTAAGGCATCGTTGACTAACATTAGAAGAGAACTTCTAGATGTCTTCATAAAGACTTTTATATTTGAATAATATTTGCAAGAGTAGTCTGAAGTTCAGAAAGTGAAAATGGAAAAGAATTTTCAGTTGTTGCTCAAAACCTCATTATGTTGTAGTCATTAGCATATCTAAGAAAATGATGTATTATACAGAAATTGCTAATTGATGGTTGGCTGACTAAACCTCTTGCAAAGTTTACATTCCTAACTTTCAATTAACAAGGTATAATTCATTATCAACAACTTAACCCTAAGGGTTATCTTAATATACCATCAGAATGTTTCTGAACCTACTACTCTTAAAAAGTTAAAAGATTTTCTGGATAAAAGTAGGTAGAAGTTTATCATATTTGATAAAATCTATTTACTTCGAACGAAGCGTACACACAAAGTGCTAACGTTTCACAACGAGACACCCTATGTAGAGCGAGTTGAAAGGCTCGATAGGATCTATGGAGTATCCGTGTCAAATTTACCCCATCCCGAGCGAGCACGTGCTTCTCGTTTCCTCGGCGTTTCCTCGTTGAATCACTTAACGCCATTAGATAAAATCTGGATTCGTGTCGACCCGGTCAACGAAGCTCAATGATCTTACATTGACGATGATTGCCATTCAATCTGCTTTTATAGGATTACGTAAACCGCGAAGTCAGTTTACTAATTATCGTACGAATTGAAGAAGTCGTACGAAATTCACCGATTCTGATCGCGGTTAATTTGTTCCGCCGTAGATTAGACTGAATTGGAGGGCGTTTGCAGGGAAAACCAAGAGAGAATTTATTCCAGAGGATCCTCGAATCTGATACTGCGTTTCATGGATTCATCGTGGCTGATTCTAGTTAACGATCTTCATTGTCGGGAGTTGAGCGAGGATGAAATTTCGGTTGATAGAACCAGCGTTGTACTGGAAACGGATGACATTTGGAACTGGTGTGGAGATTAATCGAAACTGGAAGGAATGAAGTTCTGTCTTGTTCACTTTGTCATTGCTATCGATTCTGTCATTAGAAGATGGCGATCTGTATTTTAATTAGTCGAGTTAAATATTCTTGCAAGGAGGACGACCCTTCCATTTCTACCGACACTTGAGAAATTTGTCCGCTACTGTAGACGTCTTCAGTATAATTAATTCTACTAATTAACTTGTTGCTATATTCTCATTTGTATACGGGGTTTCATGCATATCAGAGGCGTGTCATTGTTGCCTACAGAGATTCATGGGGACTGTTACAGCGTCAAAAGCCGACGTCACCAATTGTACTGCCACGCATTAGGTTTAATTGTCCAATGTCAGTTTAGAAATTAACATTCTCAAACTTCCAAACTTTGACCAACAAAATAAGAAAGTATTCTACAAGTGATCAAGGTTGTATACAAATACTTGTAACTTTGAATGGCGCCAAGATTGAACAGACGTGTTATCAGATCCAGCGTGCATCCAATAATATCGTTGGGTATGCAATCAATTTCTAAGGGCAGGAGAAAAACCAACTGAGCCTTTAATTCCCACAATCAGGTCACCGCAATCTTGTTCACAAAGGCGCGTAATTACTAGCAATAAAAGGACAACTTAAACCACGTTATTTTACATGGAAGCTGGTGCTCAGATTGTGTCCTATTATGCGGTACACCTACAGCGAATAAACACAATTAGCCAATTATAGAACTTTTGCTATAGGTATATGTGGGACCTGTCAAACATGTTAATAAGGTGCAAATATTTCTATCATGTTAATGTTGAGAAAGTTATTTATTGTCACTGTTATCAAGCTATGGCAATTATAATTTATATCTTGAAATATTTCAGTGATCTTAACAATGCTATGAAACTTGAATTTTTGAGAAGCAGAACTTAATGAATTGGGTAATATAAAAAATAAATAGTCAAATAATATAACAAATAAACAGTAAAATAATATAACAAGTAAATAGTTAAATAATATAACAAATACTTAATATTAATTATAAAATGTTTCAGAAATAAATCCCTAGAGTCCAGAAGACTTATGAGACACTAAAGTTGTCATAGGTCTACCACTACGAATGCCAAAAAATAGTACGTGAGTTCCATACGAGGGGGACCAATTCCAATTATCTGTATCAATTAGATCTCAGTAATATCCTCCTGCGGCAGGATCGCGTGACACATTCATTTTCCACTGTGAATCGATGTATTAAGGACATTTCCGGATAATCTGACTGAAATCTAATAACGCCGAACCCACTAACGTTTCGATCCTTTTCAGAGTTAATCAGACACAGAACATAACAATTTATAATATTAGACGCTTTCATCGAGCGTCCGTACAGCCGAGATTAAAATACTCCGATATTTAAAAATAATTTATCGAAAATCAATACTGCAGTAATCAATTGGATTAATTATTCTGTTTCAGAGAACGGATGCTCAAGTTTCTGGTAACAAAGAAATTAGTTATTGCTCTTAGAACAATAAGAAATATTAATTAGAAATAAAATCATCAGATTGGCAGAAATTACTCAGGAAAATGAAACAGAAAAACTTGTAATCAAGTTTTAATCAAGCTCTTAGAACAAATATTAATTGGACAGAAAATCATCAGAAAGAAATTACTCAGGAAAATGAAACAGAAAAACTTGTAATCAAGTTTTAATCAGATAGCATGCACGATTACAAAGGAAATACGTGGATAATAAATGTTACAAGCACGGGTCACGAAACAGATACAGGAATTCATTGTCATTTATTTTTTATTACGCACGCAAAAGGGAGAGATAACATTTTTACGTTTGAAAAATGACCCAGTTAACATGCCAGAGAACAAATGTGGTATTTTATAATAGCATTGTTATCTTCACGATTGTTGTCGGCGTTGAACTTTTTTTTCTTTCACCGAAAATTGATGTTGTCGAACAATGCAAACGTTGACGAGCTTTTTTGAACGGGAATAATGCGCGGAGTTGGCACGTATCGTTAACAAGAGACCATTTGAGATTGTTTCTTTGATACAATATTACACTTGCTTTAAAACGATCCTTTCGGGTCTTTGTCTACGTCGATTTCTGTAAGACGGATTTGAAACCTACATTTTCATAACTATTTCCTAAGTGTGTATATTATGTTATATACAATGTCTCCGGATATATGGGTAACAGCTTTGTCATATGTCCTACTTTCCATGAAACTTTCTCTCACACGAACGTTTCCGGATCATCTGGGATCAATATAGTAATCCTAGATATTCTGAACCTATGCAGGGGGTAACAGAAACTCCGATGTGTGCAGATAGGTGCTACGTAAGCTTTTTTGGTTGTGAATGTCTCTGGGTATGTGAGAGGGGAAATAGGATCTTAGTTGGTTTTAGGTTGGTTTATATTTTGGAAGATCAGGTTAGCAAATTGTAAAGTTAGGAATTTACCATATTAGAAAATTAGGAAATTGCTATATTATGTTATCAAATCCTCAGAGTACCAAGTCTTCAAATTCGCAGTTAAACCTTGAAGTTCCAACTCTCAATTCCTACTCAAATTTCTGAACTCTTCAGTTCTTAATTTCTTAAATCTTTAAACCTCCTAACTTCAACTTTCCAAACTACACCCCCAAATCCTTAAACCCCTAAAGCTTCTCAAGTCTTCAAATCCCCAAACCAGAAAATTCAGATATGCAGAAAGTGTCAGTGGATATAAATTCATGTTCTCGTTGTAATGGGATTACAGATAACAGCCGCGTGGAGGAGAGATCCAGACTGAACTTGAACGGGAGCCGTCAGCTCTCGAAAAGCGCCACGGAGCTCAGGAACAACGACAGCGGTTCACCGTCACGACGCGGTGAACAAGGCGAATCCAGCGTCGTTCATCATCATCGGCATCATCGTCACGCCACCTCGGTGGCTCAGCGGACGCACACCTTCTTCGCCACCTTGAAGAGTCGCTGGGCACGTAGCAGAAGCAAGGAAAGAAAGAAATCGAAGGATGCCGGGAATCTGCTCTCTCAGGATGCAGCTTTCAGAACTGCGGGCGTCGAATCTGACTACGCTGCCGACTATTCCTCTGAACATAGCAAGAGTTCCTCTGCCACTCAAAGCCCGGCTAGGCATTGTCTTAATCATCCAGGTATTGCTTCATTGTTAATGGACTGGTGTGAGTCTGTCGCTGGAGGAACAGCTTATTTAAACTCTTCATGGAGTCTTATACTTTAGAAAGAAATGGATGTCACTAAAGAAGCAGTTATATTTAATTTAAACTCTTCATGGATGACTTTCTTATACTTCAGAAAAATGAATGACTTATACTTGAAAGAATTATATGATTATACTTAAAGGAATTTATAAAGTCATCCTTTAATTATATAATTATACTTAAAGGAATCTATAATGTCATCCTTTAATTATATAATTATACTTGAAGGAATGTATAATGTGCAAGAACAATTGTAATATACATATGTGATCTTTGAGTGATTAATTTAAAAATACACTAAATGTGTACATATGTGTAAATGTTCTCAGAGAGGCTAGGTACATGATTTGTTTAAATTGTATTTGATTTATTAACTTGTTAGGGTAATAGTAATAGCAGGGTTATAACAAAGTTTTGTGTGAAACATAGATCTTATAATTATGGAAGACTATAGTCATTGAGAACTATTCACCAAGTACTTAGTATGTATTTTTATAATGAGTTAACTGTTCCTCATGAATGTGATAGACTTGCACAAGTCTATCTTATGAATCTTCATAACATAATTAAAAATGGAAACATCAGTTAACACATCTTTAAAACCTTGATGATCACATACTTATAAGTCATTTCATTCTTACAAGAAGGTACTTCAGAACTTACAAAAAATGTAAAAAGCAATTATGTGTTGAAGTTGTAACATAATACATGTCATAGAGTGAACTTGTGAACATCAATTCACGATTACAGATAACGTATAAAATGTTCTGTAAAGTCACGCGTCCGTGGTCATCAAAGTTGTTAAGGTCGGTTTCCGATGAGTCCATTACAGTCTGTCTGATCGTTCGATAAGATACAGTCCGCTACTTCCTTCCCTTCAACCGAGTTGTATTTCTCTTTCGAGCGTGCAAATCAAATTCCAATTAGTTGTGTATTCTAGCCGGAGAAACCGAAGAAGGTGCACTGCGAGCCCAGGGATCGTTTTCATAAGAGTCATCGTCGAGCGGAACAGTAATGAGGCTTAATGGACGTTAACTTCGAAATTTGTTGCGCAGTAGGGGAGTCTTTTCTTTCGCGTCGTTTAAAACGGAAAAATTGTATGCGTGAAACACGAGGTCGCGTTTAACGTGGGGGATCGATACTAGTTAGGCCGGTTCATGTTTCATTATATCGATTGATCTCAAACGCTGATGCAACGCCCGTTCATTGTGATCATACTTGCATCGATTAACTTGAAAGCTTTCGTGTGTAACTATAATCAGATCTAATTATTATCGTCTATGTTTGCACGGGGTTCGTGGTGTTTGGCAAATTTGAACTGTTAGCTTCGTTTGAAAATTATCTGGTTCTATTTTTTAATCATTGGAAGATACCTTGAGGAAAGTTAGACTCATTGTGCTAACTCTTTGAAGCAGAGATTTTGTTAATATATTGTAATTATATTGTAAACTCTTTGAAGCAAGTATTTTGTTAATATATTGTAAACTCTTTGAAGCAAGTATTTTGTTAATATATTGTAAACTCTTTGAAGCAGAGATTTTGTTTGAAAATTTATTTCAAACTGCTAAAATAATTGAGAAGTATGAAACAATGCAAAGAGCATGAAACACTGTTTCATTTGAACATTTCAAACACCTAGTAGCAATCTTCACTGTACACTTCTATATTTACTTGAAATATAGGAATACTTATCACCATGTTTCAAAGAGTTAATTAGTTGTCAGAATGGATGCAGAAGCTTTTCGAACAGCCACCAGAACAGGGTCAAACGAGTACAATAAGTCAGACGGTTAGATGGGTAGAATGGGTTAATATGAGGTCAGACATGGATTCGCTCGTAGGGTTGTTTATAGCCAGGTCAGTAGAATAAGTGCGATCAGATCAAGAAAATGGGACATGTTGCTGGATCAGTGGAATATAGCCAGTAGATCAGTCGAAAGGAATGACGCGTGATTAGACAGGGATATGTAGAATGATAATACATTTGTAGTACACGTACGTGTGTGATTTGATCCTGACGTGAGAGGAAATCGTGATCGTATTAGTAGTATTGAACCGCATGTGGTCAGACATGTCCAGCATAATTTTATTGTAGTTGTGATGAAGCGTAATACGTTGTAGTGGATTAGAATGTAATTAGAACATAGAATATTATAACATTATAGTATTATAACATTATAATATTATAGTATTAGAATATTATAACAAAGTATTGCTTTAAAATATGTATAGCAAAGTATTGAAGACATAGTATCAGATAGTATGATTAATATTACAACTCATAACTTACTCTGAAGTTTATAACTTCATCACAATTTGGAAGTAGGATATCGAGTTCTAGAGTTACAAAGTAATGAAAGAAATATGCCTTAAAGTCTCATAACAAGATACCTTATCATTTTTGCTACCAAAATCTAAATTATGGAGGGTTAATTCAAATACATTTTGAATCTAAATTATGGAGGGTTAATTCAAATACAGTTAGTCAAATGAATCATTCTATAGCCTCAAGCAGTATAAACTTGCATTGCCTTATCTGTAAATTACATTAATCACCGTTATCTCCTAACTTCCCTTTACGATTTACCATCACATAGCTATATCTGTTCCCTTCAATATATGGAATATCCATTTGGTACTCGAGCGACTTATAGGACATCTATTCTGGTACATAATAGACCGTTACATTTTTCTGTGAATAGAGTCACCGTTGGTGCGAGGAGGAAGGCAGAATGTCGTGACCAGATCGGAAGATAGTCCTGGAAAATGCAGCGATACTCATTCCAAAGGATCCTTGAGCTTCCAGGCGTCCAGGGACTCGCACGAGGAGGCTCGAGGTTCTATGAACCAGGATGATAACGCGTTTCTTCAGGAGGAAGCGGCGCGGAGACGAGAGTTGGCATTGAGACAGCATGCTTTTTTCCAGCTTCGTTTGCACATCAGAAGAGGGGCGAATCTCGTTGCTATGGATAGATGCGGTGAGACGAAGATGCTTTCTTCCACTGCAATCTGCTTTCAAGAACAAAGTCATGAATTGCTCGCCAAGTTATCACAAATTGAAAATGAAAATTACTCTACATAGAATCTTACATAATTGTTTCTCATAATATTGCTTGTATTTTAACATACTTCTTTAGAGATAGTAGTAAAACTTCATATTTATTGTCTTTGGAATATACTCAAAAGATTTGCTGTTAGGTTATATTGGACAGAAAATGTTACTTGATTTAATGACATGAAATATCATTGTACAATGAACAATTGTATGGTGAAGAATCATCAAAGTACTTATGAAATATGATCAACATACTTAAATATGTTAAACATACTTAATGAAATATGTTATGAAATTAAACATATTTAAAGGCATTATAAATATGTATGCTTGTGACATATCAGTTTAATTGGCATATTTTATTTAACACACTTAAATATTATAAAAATGTATGCTTGTGCTATCAGTTTGATTGACATATTTTATTTATCATACTTAAAGGTATTACAAATATGTATGCTTGTGTTATCAGTTTAATTGGCATATTTTATTTAACACCAGATGGAGACTTAAAGTCTTTGTCCAACCTCGTGATTAATCTCCAACATGTATTAAAGAGAAAAGGAATATTAGAAATGTAGGTCGTAAAGGCTAAAGGGCATAAATTACACACAGTCCGATTACTGTAGTACCCTTCATGCGTTGAAGAAGAAATCAAACACTCCCAATGGGAGATCGAAATAAAGTGTATCAATTATGCGTTCCAGGCGCAAGTGATCCATACGTGAAAGTGAAATCTGCGGGTCGATTGTTGCACAAGTCGCGAACAGTTCATCGTGACCTAAATCCCGTCTGGGACGAAAGCGTGACCCTGCCTATAGAGGATCCTTTCCAGCCACTCACGTTCAAGGTAAATTCTCCCAAATTATTGGATCCATTTTTTACTCTCCATCGTGAAGAAATTGTAAACAATTGTAAATTAGTATATTATGAGAACGGAGGTAAAAGAATCAGGACCTTTTATGCGTTTGTTCCAGAACGTCTTCGCATAAAAAATCTTACTAATTTCATCAGCTGTTTGTTGCTCTTTCTTTCGATTAGCAAAAGACCTTCGTCGTTTCGACAGGTCTTCGACTACGACTGGGGTCTGCAGGATGACTTCATGGGGGAGGCGCAGTTGGATTTGACTCAGATCGAACTTGGCCAGGCGCAGGATATTACGTTGGAGCTGAAGGATCACGCTAGACCGAAGCAACACCTTGGAGAGATTTATTTGTCCGTGACTCTGTGGCCCAAGAATCAACAGGAGAAGGAACAGGTATTTTCTATATACTTTATATATTTTTTCTATATATGTTTTTGATGTTTATTTTATTCCTTTCCGTTTTTGTACATAGGTGAGTGGAAAAATGAGTGACTGAAGTGTGACGGTTCTGAAAATAATTTCCATGGTGACAGAACCTTTGATCAGAGTCTGAGTTGCATTTGTTTATACTTTAAGATCAGAATCTGAGTGGATGCATTTGTTTATATTTTAAGATCAGAATCTGAGTGGATGCATTTGCTTATACTTTAAGAATGAAAATGATTGACTTAATCACATTATGGTCCTGTTTCTTCTAAAATTGAAAAAAGGACAAGGTCTAATTGGAAAGTAGAGGTGAACGAACGATTACGTACCACGAAAATTACGTGACGTTATCAGGGTTAAACAACCGCGAATTCTGCATCCTTAATCGAAGCTATTATCAAGAGATTTGCATACCGGCGTGTAGATAGGGGTACCGGTTGTTATGCCGCTTGTACCTAACATTATCTCGCTCGCACGGGTCGCGAACTGAATTTAAACTTATTACACGGGTGGCATGCAAACGAACGTATAATCTGTCGATAATAAAGTGTGGCCGATCGTTCGAGGCCCGATAAGCAACTATAGAAAATCAATTGCTCGTCCAAAATGTGATTTGTTGGTCGACTGGCGCATCAAAGGCGATTCTTTTAATTTTTTACCGCGGACATTTGCGAGCCACGTATGAAACATTTTGAACGATTCGACGTTCTACAGAAAGGATATCAGCCATGCAATGTAGTATCGAAAAACGATAAGTCCATCGAATGTGAACTCTACATGTTGCAATTGGATTACTTTGAACCGAGTGTTTAATGCAGAGCTTGTCAACAAATTTCTGCTGTCATTTTTGGAGCGAATAGGAGTGGATAGGAGGGTTCTTTTAAAAGGTTAATGCAATTGAAAATCTTGTACCATGACAAACTTGTAATCTTCACTTTTAAGTATTCTCAAGAACATAACAGCTTCACAAGTTTAATATCCGATGTTCAATTATACGTTCTCTTACGAGATAAACTTACTCGCTCTTTTAATAATTGATACACGGGACGTACGTCGCTCGAGGACCGTGGAAACTGGGTTACAATAGGACCACGAACAAACTTCGTGCAATATTGATTCCGTCATATCATTGGTGTTGAAAAGATCCTCAGAACTTCGAAGGTTCCCAACTTTCTCTATTGAATAGTTCCCGACTGGACTGTACGCGTGTATGCGATCGAAAAGATAGCTAAAAAGTTCTACTCGATCAATGTTTGCCGTCTTGCTGCCGACGGAAGTCGATCGGAATTTGTATATAGAAAATACAAATATTTACTTTGGAATGCTGTTTGATATGTTTTCTGTCATATTCGTGGTTTAACTTCCATTAACCTTTGAATGTTCTCTCTTAATTTTATGAGGAATTTTTAAATGGTATTTTAATGGTCGTTATGAAATTTTTGGATAGTGTGGTTAAATAGTTTGAGTCACTGATTTTTTATGTTACAACAGTGCATTGGAGATAACGTTATCGGAAGAGATTGTATGATAAGGGATACATTAGGCTGACTCAAACAATGTTTTCTGATAATTTTGCTGTTGATACTTCAAAGTATATTTGTGGTTTTTTGTACTATTGCAAAATTGTAACTAAGATTAATGAATCTTAATTGTATAATATGTGACAAATTAACAAAAATCACATAAATTGAGATAGTACCTGTAAAATAAAGAAAAGTAAACATTTTAGAAAATTGAAGAAAACCATGAAAATGAAATAAAGTAAAAACTGAAGAAAACTGAGAAAGGTGTGCAAGTTAGAAAAATTAAGACAAACTAACAAAAAGAACAAAACTAAAGAAGATGAAGCGTCCAGAGAAATAAAAAGACTAAGAAGAATTGAAAGAAGTAAAATTCAATAATTACAAAGATTGTTTGATAGCTAAAATAAAATTGTAGTAGAGATATTTTATTAAAGGACGACGTTCCTCAGTCGTCAGCGACAAGTCTTTCAAATAGCCCATCGTTAAGAAGTTAAAATCCCGATTGTAAGCCCAGGCTTATTGTCCATAATTGTCTCCATCACGCTTACTATGTTCTATTGTGCTCGAAAACGTTCCAGTGCGTAAGCCTGTCTAATTTCTGCCGACACGAGGTGGCATAATGCAAACCAGTGCACCATAATCCTCGCGGATCGTACATCATCGTTATCTTCTGGTTTCTGCAAACACCAACGATTCTGTGATTACGATCTACCTGAGCTGCTTTCTATGTGTCACTCTTGCGTCATGATCAATATTGACAGTGAAAAGCTGAGAGGACCGCTCCCTGTGGATGACGTTTAAAACAAAGATGTTCTTCGAATACCTTATTCAAGAATATTTCATTGTAGGAATAATGGTATTCCATTGTTAGGGGAATTAGAAATATTTGTTTCAATTGTATTCAAAATCTGTGCTTTAGTAATCAAAGAATTGTAAGGATTGTTGTAATTATAGGAATTATAAGGATTATGTAGATGTACAAATTTATAGAAGTTTCAAAGATTAGAAGAGACATTGGAAAGCATAGGTAAATTATATTTAAGAAATGCTGGTAATTGCAAGTGTAATAATGTACATTACTGACAGGAATTTTATTTTCCTTGTTGAACATTTATCAGTAGAAAGTATAGCAACTCGACATTGACACAGAACCGGTTTGTAGATGTACGAAATCGAAAAGCTTTGTAAAGTGTTATGTAACGCTGCTTACAAATGCTACAAACGTAAAGAATAACAATGTTCTGTGAAACTATTCTAAAGAGGTTCAATATTTCTAAAGCAGGATCTACATATCTCAGGTAACTCACATATCCTATCTCCATACTTATTCCTCCACTATTCTAATCCTCTTCCTCTTCTTTTCCAGCACACAAAACACTAACAATAAGTCAGAGAACAAGTGGTCAAACGTTACACATTCAAGAACCAAGAGGAAAAAGAGGACAGACATCCACAGCTCCGTCTACGCCAATGTAGACTGATTTGCCCACACATTAAACTTCCATACGCGATATCGTAATATTTACCTTCTATCACGAACGCAGATGGTAGGGGAAGCTTCCTCGTCGAATTGAATTGTACAGCGTACCAGTTAAGCAGTTACAAACCGACCGTCGTGCCAGTACGCTCTTTGCGGTTTTCCAAGTGTCTTATCGTTCAAGTTCCTCGCGTGTTTTTATTGTCGCGACCACAAAACGTCGACTGCACGCGTTCAATCGTAATTCTTCTTTTCTTCGCGTTTCTATCGCTGAGACGATAATTCTGCAAGAAGTGTTCGACCTTTATCATCGTTTTTCTGTAACGTTTTTACTGTAGCGTTAATAGTTTCCTGTAGCATTCTGTAACGTCATGTATGTTCAAAGTTTATCTCGAGGATTTTTGTAGCGTTATGGAGGTTTTGAGATGAGAAATAGTATAGAGATAGGGAGATGAGTGATGTAAGAGTTTTTTTAATTTGAAATTGAGAAAATTGTTTAGAGGAATGAATATTAGCTTGATGTTAGAGATGTGGAGGTTTTGAGATGTAGAGGTTTTGGGATGTAGCGGTATAGGATTATAAGGATGTGGAGATGTTAGGGATCTGTGTGAATAGAAATCTGGAAAAGGATGTGAGTAGGGATCTGGTCACATAGATCTGGACTAATAAGGATCTGAGCAAATAGAAATCTGGTCTAATAAGGATCTGGACAGGTAGAGATCTGAGCAAGTAAGGATCTGGAGATATAGAGATCTGTCTGAATAAAAATCCAGAGATATAGGGATGTGGATGAATAGAGACCTAGGCACATAGGGATCTGGATGAATAGAGATTTAACTTGATAGGGAGTTAGATAAGTAGAGATCTAGGCACATAGGGATCTGAATGATTAGAGATTAGATTCAATAGGGATTTGGACAATTAGAGATCTTGACTAATAGGGATGTGAGCAAATAGAATTCTGGGCTAATAAGGATCTGGACAGGTAGAGATCTGAGCAAGTAAGGATATGTAGATATAGAGAATGGCTAAATAAAAATCCAAAGACATAAGGATGTGGATAAATTGAGATATAGATACATAGGGATCTGTACATATAGAGATGTGAGTTAATAGAGATTTGAAGATATAGAGACATTAGAATCTAGCAATATAGCTATCTGCATACATCAAAATCTAAAAATACACAGTCCCACATACCACATTCACACAAGTGTCTTCCATGGCTTCATAACCAATTGCTCTTCAACTACTTCCTCCAAAATACTTACTCGATTTCTCGTTCATTAAAGACTTGTATCTTCACATTCCAAGACCACTATCTCTGACACTCACTCGGTATCATCTAATTAGAGCATCGGTTACATTCACTGGAGCATTTAAACTGTCTTGCACATTCTTTTTTGCGAAGCACCCTGTAGAACAGAGTAGGAAGCGGCAGGTAAAAAGTGAAACAGAGCAAAACGAGCAGACTGAAGAACCACGTGCACACGTGGACGCAGACGTTACGATGACTCACAAATGCTAAGTGGTCTCGAAAAGCCGCTGCGATTTCTTTTGCGTTTCGGCCGCGTGCCAACAGCCAATTCCCGACGCGTTTCGACGCACAGTGGCTCTTTGATTTCGTTCTGAATTATCGTTACCACGAAACGAGGGAACGATTTTCCGTGAGGTGAAACATTCAGTGGACCTTGTCACGCGATCTACCAATCTTGGCTGCTTCTTCGATCGGTACTCTTGGGTGCAAATCGACAGTGACATTTCGATCGTAAACAGTCAATGAATTGTTAGGTGGTCATCTTTGTGACGCTTCTCTTCAAATTTGTGAACGTTGTGGATCTTTTACTGCATCTGTTTTTAATTTTAAAATAGAAGTTTCAATAGTAGTTCCAAGAAGAAAAGTATATGTCTTTTTTATTGGAAAATGTATTCAATGAAAAGTTGCATGATGTTGCACAATTGCTACATTTTAAAACAACAAAAGTTATAATTATGGAAAATGTTTTTAGTAATTTTGTTGATTGTAAAACTTACTTATATAGGTACAAGAACATTGTAAGAGGAAAAGTTGGAAAACATTGTGAATGTATTCTTTATCGATGTCGCTTTATAAATAACTTCGAAAGAAGCCGGTGATAAACGTTACTTGCAAGATTTCGTGAAACAAAAGCAGCCATCAGAAAAACAAACAAAAATATAGAAAACGTAAAAAGATACAAGGAAAGAAGAGTGCAAGAGTAATAAATATAGAGGAAAAACGTGAGAGACTTTCCTGTAAATTTTTTACCATAACACTATTGAAAATATAAATATGTTCCATGTTTTGATTAATGTGCAAGGATTTATTGGAAAGCACATTGAACACGGCGGAACCTTAAGAGGATTGGAATTATTAAGGGAAACATTCTTCATACTGCAGAGAAAACTTGTTTCATATTAAACAAATATTGATGTAGAATTTGTTGGAAGAATTTGCTGGAAGAATTTGTTAATCTTTGAATTTGAAGGTTTTTTAATAATGTGCAGTTTGAATGATGCACTCTACAGTGAAAAATAAACACTTTTGTATGTTTCATTTTTAGAATATTCAGTATGTGAGATATATTCAATTTTATTGTGGTTTATTTTTTGTTTTCAAATCTTTTATTTTCGTTTCCAGATATTTTATTTCACCAGTAGTTACTGATTCATGGATGTGTTAGCTACAGAGTTCAAAAAATTGATGTGCCAACTATTTATGCTGTTTGGATGATTCAATGTTTTTGTATAAAAACATGTTTAAATCACAGGAATATTTTTATCAGTGTTAATATAAAAACAGAAGAAAGAATGTATTAATATATTTGTCAGAAAAATTTACTAAAAGAAGATTATAAGAAGATAATAGTGAGACTATTGTTAAAATAGGAAGACTAAAATAATATTAAAGTAATAGTGAGACTATTATCAAAATTATAATATTAAAATAATAGTAAGTCTATTATTTAATAATAACCAACCAATCTATTATTTAACCAATCAATCAACTAATTGAATAAATTAAAGTTCAACCAGATTTGAAAATTTCCTGCACGTTTTCTGAAGAAATCGACGATGAACTGTGTCCCAACAATAGCAACAGATGCAAAGGAATCCACGAAGTTGCAAAAAGGCGTACCAATTAGTTACGAGCAGATGGTAGCGTGCAAATACCGGAAGAGAACACTTAACAGTTACGTAAGGAGGTCGATGTAAACGCCGGCCGTGCATCCTGGAATTTCAGACCTTACTCTACTCACGTTTTTATTTTGCACCATGAAGAAAAGCGAATCTGAACCGATCAGACCACAGAGACACCAAAAGTCTGCGTCTAAGAACCATGAACCCACGATAGAGGTACCAACGGAAGTAAACATTAAAGCGTTAGATGAAGAGTGTCTGATGACTCGAACCAGTAGCGTCGTTTCAGAGGAGACCTCAACAGACTCGGACACTCACTCGTCGAAATCATCAAAGTCGACCAAAACGTCCGAAGAAAGTCACGAGAATAAGTGGAAGAGGTTCTGGGATCAGAATCGAGAGAGGTTCAAACACAAAACGGAGGACGATATTCCAAAGAATCGGTCGTTCGATGAGATAACAGCGGAGGTGGACGCCATTTTTCGTAAAGCCATCAGAAGCATGCGACCAGATCGACCGGAGGATCGTAGACCTTCGATCGACCTCGAAGAACCTGCAGACAAGAATAATTACACAGAGGAAGTTCAGAGTTCTCGAAAAGCCAGATCTAAATTCAAAGAACACAAGCTTCGCGAGTTTTTATCGAGCGATTCAATCGAGAAGAAACCCGAAGAAGACACTCTCAAAACCGTTGATGAAGAGAAGGACAAAGACAGTTCAAGTCGTTTAAACGTCCCTGAGAGCATCTTCTTCGTGGACCTTTCAGACGAGGAGAAGAGCAAACTAGGGAAGGAGAGACTCGAGGAGATCCGAGACCCATCGTCGAGAAGATGGAGCTCGCTGGAGAACCTGCGAGCAAAGATGGACAATGCTCGCGAAAAATCTTACAGGACGAGAATAGACAGTTTGTCCATCGAGAAACCGGTTAAAGTCAAAGAGAAAAGAACGATGGACTCGCTGAGATCGTCGCTGGAGAGGAAGATGGGCTCCGTGGAGAGGATCCTCGAGGATCACATGGAGAAGATCATTGAAGGTAATCTGGAGAACCGTTTGTGGTTGCTGCCTATTGAGAACTGGATCGTTGAGCGTTGCAAGCACTCTGGAATACATCAGGATACTGATGTTAAGCTCGAGGAAAGAAAATTAAAGAGGGGAGACGAGAATTTTGAATTCAAATCTGCACCGGAGCGCGAAGACGAAGCGAGCAGATTGGAACAGAAGAAATGCGAGAAATTGAAGAAATCTGAGTTGAAAAATGAGGAAGAGAAGGTGGAGGTCGCTTTGGAGAAGGATGTGAAACATCATGACCTGTTTGACAAGTTTAAGGATAACGTTAAGGAGAAAATGGAGGACATTCATAGGGTACAGTGTGTTTAAAATAAAAATTGAGAAGTCGTAGTCTGTTATATGTATATATATGGTTAGGTATATAACTTGTATGATAATACATAGTGTAATATTTATATTCAAAAAGTGTGAGAGTGAATTGTACATGTTATTTAGGACGGTTGAGAATTACTGTCATTGTTGTGGACTCGTATCCCGTTTCATGGGTCGTAATTTTTCTATTGCAGTACTTCCAACGGACCAATCGATTGGCGGACGTAAATAGACGCTTGAAGTCACAAATATGGAGCTCCGTGGTGACAATTGTTCTCGTCGAAGCGAAAAACCTGTTACCGATGGATATAGATGGACTCTCGGATCCCTATGTCAAATTTCGGTACGAAAATCCACATAACTTATTCATAAAAATCACCAGGAACAATTAACAATTTAATTTGACTCAGTAGTTAAAAGATGCAATAAAAAATTCTACACATGTGAAATTGTATAGAAATAATAATCCAACACTCAAACAATAATCCACCACTGAAACTTGATTAATGTAATTTTCAGACTAGGTACAGAGAAGTACAAGTCGAAAGTGGTGCACAAGACCCTGAATCCAGTTTGGCTGGAGCAATTCGATCTTCATTTATACGAGGATCCCTATTTAGGCCAGGAGCTGGAGGTAACGGTGTGGGATCGTGATAAAAGCCATCAGGACGACTTAATGGGGAGGACGGTGATCGATTTGGCGACCCTCGAACGAGAAACTACTCATCGCCTTTGGCGAGACCTCGAGGATGGTTCTGGGAACATTTTTCTCCTGTTAACCATTAGTGGTACCACTGCTAGCGAGACTATTAGCGACCTAGCTGCTCATGAGGAAACGCCGCGCGAAAGAGAACAATTGTTTCAGAGATATTCGATTATGAACACGTTGCAGAGGCTAAGAGATGTTGGTCACCTAACAGTTAAGGTGTCTGTTGTTTTTAATTCTCTGTATTGTATTATATTTAATCGGAGACTGCATCATTTTTAATTTCACGCTTAACGGTGCTGCACTTAATATCGTTATACTTAACTTGGAAGTTTGAAAGATTGTCAGACAAGATAATGTTAGGTATAATAGTATTATGTGATGCATTGTGAATTGTCAGAATCTACATCATAAATGTCACATCGTGAAAATTCTGATTCTGTACTAAAATTTCTGTTTATAATTTTAATGTCTCAAATCAATATTTTCATAAAAGTTTCTGAAATAATAATTTTTGAAACAGGTATTCAGAGCTCAGGGTCTGGCAGCCGCAGATCTTGGAGGGAAAAGTGATCCTTTCTGTGTCCTGGAATTAGTGAACGCCAGATTGCAAACTCAAACGGAATACAAAACACTTGCTCCAAATTGGCAGAAGATCTTCACGTTGTAAGTGCTTATAAATTGTTTCAGAATACTTGAGGATTAGAATACTATAATTATTGCTTTTCAGCAACGTGAAGGATATTAATTCGGTGCTAGAGGTGACCGTGTACGACGAGGACAGGGATCACAAAGTAGAATTTCTTGGCAAGGTTGCTATACCCTTATTAAAGATAAGAAACGGCGAGAAACGATGGTACGCGTTGAAAGACAAAAAGTTACGAGGTCGGGCAAAGGGTAATTCCCCTCAGATACTCTTGGAGATGAACGTGGTCTGGAACGTGGTCAGAGCCTGCGTACAAACGCTCAATCCCAAAGAGAAAAAGTACATGGAGCCGGAGATAAAGTTCAAGAGACAAGTTTTTGTACGTAACGTCCTCAGGCTGAAAGCGATCATTGTTATCGTCATCGACATTGGAAAATACGTGCAGTATGTAATTTGGAATTTGAGAATTTAAAAATTTAGAAAATACGACAGTTCGTAAATGTAAAGATTTGGAAATTTGGGAATAGAAAAATTTAAAATCCATGAACTTAGTAATTTAGAAATTCGAGAATTTGAAAACTTACAAAATACAAAAACTTGGAACAGAAAATTTCCCAAATTTCTATAAACTTCACACTTCCAGAGCAAAGAAGAAATAAGAAAGTTCCAAATTTCAAGGGGGTAAAATATTTGTCAGTTTTCTATTATGTTCTAACAGTCCTCATGATGTACATTCTTCTTAGACACCGTGTATATTCTCCACTCCAGTCAAAGGATTAAGTACCTCATCATAAAGGTCATAATATTCAATTGAATGATCGTGTTAACATGTCTGCCACATATTTGATACATTGGACGTGTAAACACGTTTACGATATTTAAGGGAAAATTGAAGCAATATATTATCTCGACATTGTTATATAAATTACGTGTATACATTTGATCACACATTGAATACTATTTGTGACACGCTACGGACGTCAAGGAGATGATTAATAATGATTGAATTGCGTTTCTTGGAATACTGTGTTTATGATCATTACTGTAATTATACGTGAATTAATCCTATGACTGTTAGCTAAAAAAATGATGTTCTGTTTGTAAGTTACATAACTTCATAGTCCAGTAGAAATTATAAAATTTTTGCAAGTTAATATGACTCTTTAGAATTTAGAGTAATTATAATTGATTTTTACTCTGGTTTGAATTTAGGAGCTGCTGGGAGTGGGAGAGCAAAATGAGGAGCATCATTGCACTGGTTATTTTTATTTTGGGCTGTTACTACTTTGAGCCTTACATGTTTCCTGGAGCAGCGTTACTAATTCTGTTAAAGTATTACCTGGTACGTACACAGATTAATAATTTCACTATTTAAACATTTTTTGCATTCTTAGGGTACCCTGGTATTCACATTTAAATTATCTCTTCTTGATCTCATCTTTGATTAATTGCACTATAAAGATTATAACATACTTTTCAGTAAGTTAGTGCACACTTGTTAAAGTAAATCTTGTTAGTGCTAGTAGATAGTGTCGCCCCAGGCTAGATAGTAATTAAAGAGGTGCGTCACTAGCATGAGTATAGACCAAGTAGAATATATCAAGTTTAGAAGATGAAATCAATACTTGATTTATTATTAGATCCTTTTAATATTGATAGTTTTTAACCAACAATTTTTATACTACATGGGTCACTTGATAGCAATATTGCTATTTATTTCACTCTTAATCCCCTAACATAATGTTCTTCCATCTAATATTATCATATTTATTACTTTTATTAATTATGGAGCTTGCTTATGAATAATAGAAGCTGAATACCCTCGAGCACACATACGCCTAACACTTTTAAATAACAAATGCTTGACGACCTTTACCTGCATTGCTGCATGTTCCTTGCTACCTGCCAGCTTTACGGAGACGGAAGTGGACTCAATCAATGGATTTCCGGACAGGTCTCGGTGATAACCGGAACGCCCCTATCGCATCACACCAGCTCTCATTACTATGACGAGATTGACGATGGAGCAACTACTCCCGGGGATGATGACGACGATGAAGATGATAAAGATAAAGTTAGTGTTTATTAAAGAATCAACTGTGTTCTAAATCTAATATAACTAGACAAGGGAAAGAAATCCATTGCTATGCAAAATTCAAGATTTACTCAAAGGTTTCCATTCCTTGAAGTCCCATAATTGTTCTCGATCTCTTGTTTTTGGAAATAATCCATGTATCTATTATTAAGCTTCAGAAGACGAATGGTTTCTTCCAATGAATATTAGATTTGAACACATGTCGAGACCGATGTATTTTCGTCGTTTACCTCGATTATACCCTTCGACCTATTCGACTGCAAGTTGATACCGTAATTGAATCGAGGTCATGGTATTAAAAATTAACCTTCGTTATACGACGTTCAGTGTCTTATTCTGGAGCGGTATCTCAATTTCTAATACCTCGAGTTATTATTGTGCTCTTACATGCGAAGTATTTTATTATATAAAACAAATGCTTGACGTGATTTGGTGACATAAAAGAAACATAAACTTATGAAGTATCATTTCACTGTCTGACCAATGACTATGTACACACTTAATCAAAAGACCATTATCGTCGTGGAATATAAATGATTAAAATAGTATTAAACTATGACTTTGTCAATTTGTATTAAGACTTATATTAATCTATTTTGTATTAATGTTGTCAAATATTTAATAATATTAACAGCTTTGAATTTATATATTACAACTGCTATTTTGAGATATTTTTATGTCATCAAGTCTTCATACTTGATATGTATCATAATTTAATATGTAACAACCTGATAATGCAACTGTAGTTTAACTAAAGTGTATCCTTCTTTCAGGAAGAAAAGAAGAGTCTGAAGGAAAGACTGCAAACGATTCAAGAAGTAACTCAGATGGTTCAGAATTCAATGGGTTACATAGCCAGTCTCTGTGAGAGGGTGAAGAATCTCTTCAATTTCACTGTCCCTTATCTCAGTTACCTAGCAATGATTCTAACGATCCTTGGAGCCGCGGTCCTCTACTTCATCCCTCTTAGATACCTGATCTTGGCGTGGGGCGTCAATAAATTCTCCAGGAAGATCATCAGGCCTCACTCGGTTCCAAACAACGAGGTTCTTGATCTCATATCTAGGGTGCCCGATGACGAAGAACTTATTAATTACAGGTTCATGACTTTCACATAAATTATATCCTCCACTATTAACTCTTAGTGGTAGAACTTAGTAGGTAGACTTACTTACTCTTAGTGGTAGGATGATATATACTAGGATCTATAGTAGGAACCTAATTTTTAGTTAGAGTGTCTTTAAATATTAATTGGTAGGAATTTTAAAAAATGTATTATTAATGTTAAATATTTGAACAGGGAATTAAAGCCTTTACCGACGGCCGATTGCGAGAAGGGAAGTACTTCAGGCAGTCCGGGTCCTTCGAATTTGACGCGAAGGGAACAAAGGAAGAGGCACAAGGCCGCGTAGCAGCATGCCCCGCGGCCGGAAGTCGCGGGTCTACGATCACCGAGCATCCTGAGGACGGTCCTGCTGCGGCGTAAAATACGTCAGCGAAAGGAAGCAACGGAGAACCTGGATGTGATCGACATAGACTGAGAAACGTTCGTTTCCACGTTCGTAGTCTTAGCTAGGGGGATGACGTATTCTAGTTTTCAATCTTTCCGATCGCGTACGAACATCTCGTGTGGTATGTCTTCGAAGTCTGATCGTTATTCGCTAGTTCGACAGATTCACGAGAGACGCGGAAATCGCCTTATGAACGAGTTCAGGAACGTTAATCGTAAGAATAGAACCGACACGAGTGTTGATGTACCAAAAATATTCAAGATTTTAAGCCAAAATGTAATATATTACAGCGATCTTTAATCGCGGTTCAAAAGTTACCAGCGAGATGATATTTTCAAATTCTTAATCATAATTTAGCAAGTCAAATTCAGGTAATAAGATTATCGAGTTTTTCCCAGGCATACCACGCAAAATTGTTGCTAGTTCTTCATACGGATAGATTCCAGTAAGTCGACAGAAGTACATCGAGATAACGGTGTAGTTTTCATCTAGTTAGTCTTTTTTGAAACGTAAACATACGGTAGAACGTCTTCGTAGTCTTCTCGAACAGTTCGATTGTGAATCTATGCGTGATTATCCAGCAACAGGAAATTCAACATCGCGTATCAATTTCCTCCAGCAGCCTTATATTTATTCGATCACAAATAGAATAATCTTCTTGGAAAGTAGAGAACGTTATAAATAGATTGCGGATGTTTATCTACAACTTTCATGAATGTTAAATATTTTCAATGCATTCACTGCCACGTCATCCTCATCGCTAGACATTAGAGGATGCGAAATATTAAAGTACATCTTACTTTTTGCTAACGTTAATTGTTTAACATTTTAATAGTCTTGTGTTTGTGGGATTTATAGCCACAATTTTTCATTTGTCTTTGTATCTAATTATTGAGCATGTAGAAAGAGATCCTACTATGCGAGTGTTCGAAAATATATAAATTCCTCTCTCATGGAGTGAATAAGTAATACGTATTTAATAAATAAGAGTTAAAGTGTTAATGCATAAACATTCATGATCTATTCGTAAAACACGAAATGCGTTCAATAAAGGAAGAGATAAACGTCAGATAAATAAGTGGAGGAAACTATATTTGACTTTCTTTGTTGTTGGATGATTGAAGTCAGAAGAATGCGGTGAATCGATTATTGAAAGTATCCCGTTCGAACGGGAAGACCGTGTATGAAAGCGAGCGAGAAAAGTGCGTAATAGATTAGCAAAGCATTAGCCAAGAATATCGACGGAGAAGAGATACCATAGATTCAAAGAAAGGCGAGAGCCTTTCCGGTTATCCTCGTCGATCCGTTTTCGTCCATCGGTGTCGTAGATTTAGCTGCTACAAAAGATCGTTATCATTGAACGAGAGATATTAAAATTTAACGTTAAAGAATTTAACAGAAAAAGACAAGTATAGTTGTTCCGTCGACGACGTCGCTTGACGAGCTGTTTTTTCCTTTCAAGAATGACGGGTAAACTCGCTGCAATGTACTTGATCCTTATTATCGGCGAAATGAAAAAGATAATTTTATCAGCGTTTATAACGTTTCGAAGTAGTTTTAATTCGACTTTCTGCTACCTCGTGCTGTAATCTTGTGATTGACGAAAGTGTTTTACCGGAACGTTGATCATTGAAGGGTGAACGTTATTCGTCGTTCTTGAAATAAAAGATATTAAGTCTTATTGTTGAGGTGTTTCCTCGACATTATTCTCTTTAATAGTATTTAATATTATCGATTTATTCGTTCCAACGCACACTTTCGCGTTACTCTGCCTCCTTGAGCATGAATATACATTTAATGAAACGAGTGTCTTTATGTTGAAATGTATGAATAGTACAATTTAGTGTTTTAACTCTTTTGTTACTGTAGCGTTAAAAATTTCAGGAAGGTTAGTGACGGTGACTGTAACCTTTTGATACTGAAGTAGTGATAGGTTACTATAGTTACCTTTAGGGTACAGAGTCAGGACTGCAGTCATCTTTGGTACTTATAGTTGGAGGATAAATGACTATAATCATTATTGGTTTGCAGTGAGTGATGAGACTATTAGTCTTAATTTACAGTAATGAATTATAGTTATCTTCAGAATTTAACCATGCATTAAAATTACATGACTATAGTCATCTTTGGTATTTATAGTTGGTGGGTAAATGACTGTAATCATTATTGGTTTGCAGTGAGTGATGAGACTATCAGCCTTAATGTACAGTAATGAATTATAGTCATTTACAAAATTTAACCATACATTAAAACTAGATGACTACAGTCCACGATTGATAAATGACTACAGTCATAATGGGCATTTAGCCACAGTGATGAAAGAGTTAAACACAAGAAACATATCAAATTAAAAAAGCGAGTAACCACCGTCACATTGAAACATAGTTTATTTCCAAAAATTGTATATTATACCGTTTGATCTCTTCAAGAATCGACCAAAGAAACGGTTCGTGTAAAAACAACCGAATAAACTCGGAGAAAACTCAAGTAAAAGAAGTAAAAGTTTCTCCCGCGACTTGTAACACTATATTTTTATAACAATAATAGCGACGATGGTTCAAGCTTGGTCTACGATTAGATAACCGGGCCAGCCCCGTGACTTTCTTCGTTGTGAATATTATTACGTTTTGTGCGACTTTTTTTCTCTAGCTATTGTGAAACTGTTCCCAGGAGACGAACGTTACTTCCGTATTTTTTTCATTGCATTTCCGGAACGTTACGAACCTGCGAAAGCGACATTAAACTCCGTGTTTACATCAACAGGAACTAGATCAAGGACTGTTATCAGCGTTGCCATTTAAACTATTGAGAAATGTGATGAGACCCTGGGGAATGTACTCGGAACACTTTCCTCTTCTTTTGTTCGTTCCACTTGTTCGTTGCACTTCGTTGTATTTATAATGAACGAATACATTTTAACATTACGTTTAAACATTAGTTGTATATGATGATTTTTAAAATTAACAAATGTATAGCAATTGTTAAGGAGACAGCAGGTGATCAATATATATATTATATGAACAATATATGTGACAATATATTGTTAACATTTTGACAATTTTTTCATAGTTATAGGATACATTTTAGTATCAACAATATTATATTGGCAGTACCTAATATAAAATATTACCAATAAATATTGATGACTGTATGAATGTATTAATACATATATATATTGCCTGCGTCTTCAAAACATTATGTCGTACTATCTCATAATATGAATGTTTATGTAAATCAATATTTTTATAAAATATTTTTACTTCGAACTAAAATTAGAGGAAAGTGTCAGTACGTTTCGATGGGTCTCAAAGATAGAGAAATAGATGTAGTCCGATATGAAGTAACTGTTATTAACGATTGATGTAAAGATGCTCGAGGAGGGGCGTAACTTGCGAAATTCAATTTTACGGATCATCCGAGAAAGCCGAAAATAAGAGGGGGTGTATCACCGATCCATTTTTCGCTTTTTTAATACGAAACGCCACTTTTTCGAATCTGTCATCGATCTTTCTCATCCGTGTATTTATCATCGTGTTGAAAATACATCATTGAGATGCATTTGTACAAATATTCGACTCTGTGAAATTTACGATGTCAAGTAAAAGTTTCTCCCGCGACTTGTAACACTATATTTTTATAACAATAATAGCGACGATGGTTCAAGCTTGGTCTACGATTAGATAACCGGGCCAGCCCCGTGACTTTCTTCGTTGTGAATATTATTACGTTTTGTGCGACTTTTTTTCTCTAGCTATTGTGAAACTGTTCCCAGGAGACGAACGTTACTTCCGTATTTTTTTCATTGCATTTCCGGAACGTTACGAACCTGCGAAAGCGACATTAAACTCCGTGTTTACATCAACAGGAACTAGATCAAGGACTGTTATCAGCGTTGCCATTTAAACTATTGAGAAATGTGATGAGACCCTGGGGAATGTACTCGGAACACTTTCCTCTTCTTTTGTTCGTTCCACTTGTTCGTTGCACTTCGTTGTATTTATAATGAACGAATACATTTTAACATTACGTTTAAACATTAGTTGTATATGATGATTTTTAAAATTAACAAATGTATAGCAATTGTTAAGGAGACAGCAGGTGATCAATATATATATTATATGAACAATATATGTGACAATATATTGTTAACATTTTGACAATTTTTTCATAGTTATAGGATACATTTTAGTATCAACAATATTATATTGGCAGTACCTAATATAAAATATTACCAATAAATATTGATGACTGTATGAATGTATTAATACATATATATATTGCCTGCGTCTTCAAAACATTATGTCGTACTATCTCATAATATGAATGTTTATGTAAATCAATATTTTTATAAAATATTTTTACTTCGAACTAAAATTAGAGGAAAGTGTCAGTACGTTTCGATGGGTCTCAAAGATAGAGAAATAGATGTAGTCCGATATGAAGTAACTGTTATTAACGATTGATGTAAAGATGCTCGAGGAGGGGCGTAACTTGCGAAATTCAATTTTACGGATCATCCGAGAAAGCCGAAAATAAGAGGGGGTGTATCACCGATCCATTTTTCGCTTTTTTAATACGAAACGCCACTTTTTCGAATCTGTCATCGATCTTTCTCATCCGTGTATTTATCATCGTGTTGAAAATACATCATTGAGATGCATTTGTACAAATATTCGACTCTGTGAAATTTACGATGTCATTCTACGAACTTTGTATAACGCGTGGCAATATTTTGTCTAATAATATTGACGCGTGTTACTGTATCACACGAATTCATAGGGTCGAATATCTTCACGTTATTCTTTATCACCGACTGCGGGCCTAACTCATGAGGCAAACACTCACATTACACACGAAAACACTACGAAAGAAAGATGGAAGAGAAAAAAGAGAAAGCTTGGCGATTCTTTTGTCATCTAGTCAACTTTTTTTTCTTTTTAACGAGAGAGAAACTTGTGATATTACGGATCGATTTCCTTGGTTTGTATGTCGTGTGATTTCGAGTTTGACTATTCTTTTCGTCGCGAACGAAAGACAATCAGAAATAGGTTTTTAGTTTGATGATTTTGAAACAAGGTGAGCCTTTCTCTTACAGTCATTCCTTCAGACATTCCTTTCGGTGAAATTGTACGGGTATAATTTATTGATTTAGATTGGAATTTATGAATGGATGTAGCGAACACGTTCATTGTCACAATCTGTAACAGAGTTCTTTTTGTCACAATCTGTAACAGAATTCTTTTTGTACTTTGTTATATTGTATATTATACCATACTGTTTGTAATACAAGTATGTTGTGTACACGTTTACTTTTCTGTTACTAATTATATAAAATAACAATCTTACAATTTGTGGCAGTCAACGTGTTAAATCAGTTATACTAACATTGATTCACTTGTACAATCTCATTTCATTTGCATCGACGAGTCGGTTGCTCTTGAAACTACTTTTTATTTAGAATTTAATTGTAAACGAGACAAGTTTTGAGCAACCGACTCTTCCTATGAAGCTGTTAACATTTCACCGTATCGTTTTTCTACTCTTCCAGTTTTATACTTCCAAAGCGTGTCTTCAAGATTACTTTCCCGATTCAGCAGCGAACCTAGCCATCCTTTGAAGCTTTTTCAACTACTTTTCCTTGGGAGTAGGACAAGGGCACACAAAGCACACACAACAGATTCATACATTATTCCATGAAACAGGTTCACTTTCGAGTTTGCATGATCCAATTTTCTTCGTGTTGTACTTGTCTTCATTAAAGTGTGTTTTAGCTGTTAAGAGCGTGAAAAGAAGGAGAGAGGGCCAGGAGGAATTTCGATTTCCACGAAATCACAAGGATTCATATGTGTATATATATATTTTTCCCAAGATCGTGCTCGTCTGCATCAGTGTTAATCTACGACAAAAGATTTCTTCTTTAATTCTCGTTGCAAGTTGAACGTTTGTAAATATTTTCTTTCTTTAAATTTCCAAATTTATACACATTATAGTTATTTATATATCGATATTATTATAGTTGTTGAAGTGTCAAGTTTTTTTTATAGATATAAATTGAAGACAATATTCGTGAAATGGATGAACACTGATCCACTTCGTTTGCACGATCGCGAACGCTCCGCACACGTCTGTTTACTTCCTAATCGATAGGAGAAACGAGCATTAAACTTAAGACTTAGATAGAAAAAGAGAAGAACAAATTGTGATTCGATTTGGCGGACTTCGAGGTCAACTGCGATTCTCGGACGAAGAAGAAAAAGAGAGAGATCGCGCGTGAAGCATGGAGACACGGGCCAAGTCCCAATTACATATAGAGTATGTCCTACAAAATTATTATTATAAGATCATTGCTAAAAGATCATTGTTATACATTTAAAACAAATTAACAGATATACAGATTGTTTAATGTTGTTCTTTTTTTTTATTTTGATATACAAAAGCGTAATGCTTCTTCTTGGAGGACATTCTTTATATCAACGATCTTAAGCGTAAGAAGCAGGAAACGAATGTACGATTTCACGAATTAGAATGGTTGTTTGGATCGAATTCAGGGACTTGGCCGTGCTTCTCGAGAAATGTACTTACGACAAGGGGTAACATAAGTCGTTATTATTATTCATAATATTTAAAGAGGAATGAAATTAAAAATAAAGAAAGCTTTTAATATCCGACACGCTTTCAATTCATTATCCTACATGAATTTTTAATTTAATTTTTCTTCTTTTTTAGAGGGAGAATGCGTGAGAGAGTGTGTATGCAAATTTCAGTCTGAAGAGTACTTCATTTTTGGAAGAGTAGTTATTTAATTATTATTATATTCTTTAATGATATTCCTTTATATATTAATACTATAATGGTAGTATTCCTTTATTTATTATTTCATTTGTTTTACAGGTGTTAGTAAACAGGGAGAGAATGCATGAGAGAGTGATTTGAGTATGCAAATTTCAGTCTGAAGAGTACTTCATCTTTGGAAGAGTAATTCTTTATTTAATTATTACATTCTTTAATGATTTCTTTTGTAGTCCTTTATTTATTGTTTCCATTTCTTTTACAGGTGTTAGTAGAGTAAACAATTGAAACCTTAACGCATTGATTGCTTTAGTGGAATTTAATTTTAAGAAAATGATTATAGAACAAGAAGAAGAAGAATACTATTTCTGATAAGTTACAATACTAAATTTTACCCAATATATAACAAGACTACATACAAATATTTTAAGTACATATTAATCTTTCTAAAATAATGAAAGTTTCTGCGAATGCAGCAATGTAAACTACTGCATTCTAATACTTTTGCTATGACCTTGCCACGTGCTAAGAATTCCACTCTGGCAGTCAAAGCGTTAGTTTCCAATATTGTATACTTCAACTATAAGTCTCCAATACACTCTCCATAATCTTCTAATATACTCTTCAATATACTCCTATAATTATTAAAATCTATTCGTCGATGGATCAAACCCACAGCGCCATCTGTTTCCAACATATCAAAAAATTTAGCAAGTATTTGAAAAGAAAGAGAATTGTAGAAGGAACACCATGCAAAGGAATGCTATTTGGAACGGTGAAAGTGAAACCGAGCACGAAGCAGAATTCAAAACCCGCGGGACGCTGATTCATATTTATACTCTTTAGTTCATTTTTTTAATACTTTTAACACGCTATGACGCACACGTGCCCGATATAGCGCAATTTCCTTTGTGGCAAGGAAAATCGACAGGATTTGACCTCATTTGTCTGTCTTTCGTCAATGCCAGGGAAAAGAAAACGGAAAAAGTTATTGCGGTGAACGAAGGACTCCGTTTCAGTTCGCAGGAAACGGAGAAATCAAAATGATATGTAATAAATGATCCTTGATAGATTTCTTTACGCAATCATTGATGATCGTGAATCGGTAACAATTTACTTTCACGTAATGGCGTCTGCTATTTCTTCAACTTCATTTCAGATATGTTTCTGTTGCATTACATTGAATATTATGGAATAGTAATAGAGTCACTGTTGACGTTATAAAACTTGAGAAGTTTAGATAAAAAAATTCAGATATTATTTTTGAAAATATGGACTCATTAGTGAAATGCTAAATTTGGAATATGTTAAGAAGAAAATATAATTAGTTGTATAATAAGGAAGAATTCACAAGTGCATTTGTAACGTTTCACAAGTATTTAAATAAGGTATGAACAAAAATAATTAAAAGAACTTAGCTGATTATGTTGACAAGTTTTTTGTTAAAATTAATTTTCATTATTTACTTTTTAAGTCCTGAATGTCCAGTCTGATGTAAATAAACATTAATGGAAGGATTCGGCAGTAGGTCATGGCTTTTATGGTGCCAAAGAACTCGAATGACCTATCAAACCTGTTTCTTCGCGGCACGAGGATTCTTCATTCACCAGGAAGATGATTCGACTTACCTGAATGTCCTAGACCTTGCGCGAGGGTGAAAGTCGAGGTCGAGATCTACTCTCAGATTTGGATATCGCTTCACGAACGATTCAGCTATATTTATCCTAATTATCCTCTTGAAATATGCTTCTTATAGTTCACTAAATTGCCTAATTTATTTACAAAGTGCTACAGTGATAAATTACTAAACTTATATATCTAACTTACTCTCACAAATGTGATAAATGGGTGCATTAAAATAATTATAGATTTAGAGATCTAGATATCAAGATGTTTAGATATTTAGGTATGTTAGAATTTAGGTATCAAAGTAAACCATGCAGGGATAAATTCAAGCATGTATGAATTTGAGAACCTACAAATTTAGCTATGAATTTGAGAACCTAACCATTCACTTCTACAGTATAAATATAACTACAAAGCTATTCAAATCTACTTGTGCAATCAAAAATTTTTATTTGCTTAAAAATATTTCATAGTCTGCTTATCCGCTACATAAACCTCAAACAAGGCAAAAAACAGAAAAAGATCTCTGATATAAGAATAACTGGTATTTTCACAAAATTACGTAATTTCTCTTTCACTGAATATTTCATATTCCGTTCAATTTACCAGGGCACATGCATATTTCATTTTTCTCGTTTTTTTTTCCCCTCGTAGCGACGACGTTTCGAGCCAGGACTAGTTCGAGCATCGAAAGGAACTTTCACGACAGGAAGAAATATTTTGCGTCGCATTTCGGAGAACCTGAATGGTTAATTTTTATTTCCGGCCGTTGTGGCCCTGTTAGCCAGAAATTTTCATACAATCACACCGATGGAAAGTTACGGGAGCAGGCTCGCGTTGACCGCAGCCGGTCGATCCAGTTTTCATGATTCCACGGATCCGGATCCAGCAGGACGTGTCGCGACAAATCGGGCACCATTCCTTTCCGTCGATGCCACCTGACCTCATAATCGTGATTTTCTAATTTGTTCGCTCTCCCGCGAGCAATCCGTCCTGCCTGATCGCATTCTTTCCTTGGATCTCTTTAATTAATTACTTCGAGTCACGGTATTCGTTGAAACACGTAGCAGTGTTTCTACTTTAATCAAAAATTTCAATCTAGCAATATTGTTGATGAGTGTTCAAGATAATCATATCTTTACTATGATGGATGTCAAACACAGTAATTGTCTGTGTGTAGCAATTGTTATTGTTATTAGGTATATTCTTTGAGACTGTGAGCAATTATATTTTATAGAGTAATTGCCATTGATGTAGCAATAATACTCTACAAGTAATACTCATGTAAGAATAAAGACATGTATTGCTACAGCAGCTGCTACTATCAGCAATTGCAATAGGTTATAGCAGAGTAGTTGCCATTGGTGTAGCTACATTACTATTTGTACAAATAATACTTATATAAGAATGAGGACATGTAGTGGTATAACAGCTGCTACTATCAGCAATTGCAATATGTTATAGCAGAGTAGTTGTACAAATAATACTCATGTAAGAATGAGGACATGCACTGCTATAGCAGATATTCTCAGCAATTGTAGTTACAATCTTCAGTAATATTTTGTATGACCATAAGCAGTTTTCATATTGCTAATTGAATGTGTGAATAGATAGTAGGTGAACATCTATCAGATATTGTAAGGATATTATTAATGTATACAAGCAATTATCATATTGCTGATTATAGTAGTATCTGTAAGTGTATGATTATCAACTCTCTGTAACATGCTTGAAGTATTATAATGTACTGTCCATATTCTTATTTTCTCTAAATTTGCACTTTAATATCCTCAGCATTAGACTAACAGTATTTTAATTTCCAGATAGCTGCACTTTCTAAGACACCTAATTATCTCATTAGAGGTGAAATTATTCAAGTCGACTGCAACTATACATCATTCTTGCATCTATAAGAAGATCCTTGAAGTTGCAAAATCATAGCAATCACTTTGCAAAGATTAAGAAACGAAGCCTTTCTCTGAAACCAGGAATAACTGAAGATAGTCTCTCGATCACAGCATAAGATTTCACTTTCCGTCTATGCGGTAAATCGACCTGTCTTCATTTGCAATCGAAGACCTATCATTAGCAACGTTGATTGTGTTGTTTTTCCAATTTCCGTTCGGATTTACGTGTGTTGAGATAAAAAGAGACCCCGCAGAGCATAGTGGGTAGGGTCCAGCCGTAACACGAACGTGAAAGTAAGATTCCACTGCACGAGCCTGTATTTACCTTTGCGAGCTCTTCGTACGTACACACTGGAGAACCCGTTTCGGGATTTTACACGTTCCAGCGGGCAAACAGGCGTGGACCGTCCCACGGAACCGATTAGAAAACTTTCTCCATTGGCCGTGACCTCGATACCAGCCACGTTTCGGCGATGACGTGCTGCAAAGGCTCGATAAGGTGAATTAACGGCGCCATTAGTGGGGCTTCTCGCCACAATCATCCTCGAGGGTCATTGGCGTAGCCAGAATTTTTGTTTAGGGATGCTATAACTTTTCTTATATTTATTTGGTTAACAAATTGTGTCGTTTTTTGTCAGTTGATAACATTTATATATTAACAATATTTTCTGCAACAAATCTTTACTTTTGAAGCATACATTTAAGGCTATCTTATTAAGGAAATATTGTTATATGATCTTAATATTGATAAGTATAAATTGTATAGTATAATGAGGTTGTGTTACACTTATGAATAGTGATTCATGTTCTAGAAGAGCAACCATAGATGTAGATGCTCCTTATGATTAAACGAAGATCTTGATCAGTAATAAATCTTCATATACGTTAAGAAAACACTTAACATGTTATGTAACAAGATTTCAATATATAACATTTGTTGTCAAACTGCTTCTAGAAAAACGACAAAACGTTTTAGCCACTTCAATAACATCATCCCACTTGAGGCATGATTAAAATAACTTTTGAAAATTTGTAGACTTGAGCATGACTAGTTTTCTATACTTTCAGGAATCCAATTCCACCGAGGTTCTTCCCAAGTTACGCCAATGTGGAGAACGCGAAGATGTGCTATAGGAAACGTGGAAGAAAGTTTGCAGTGGCTTTTATTCGGATTCGTTTGTACGTCCCTGAACAGACTGTAATTTCCATTGAAGAATGTTTCCTTCCTTCTTTTAACATAACAATGCTATAGAATTTGAATTACAACAGATTCGTTAATGATACCATTGATTAAATTTTCAATTTACAGGAATGAAGTTTAATTCTGAAATTCCTGAGGAATCGAAATAAACATTATTGTAGATCTGATCATTGTAGATCAACACGTTTACGAATCCAACGCGGTACAATCAAGCATCATTCAATACGATGGAACGTGAGCGACGTACGAACGTGGGTTCACGAGTATTAGGCTGTTTGGAGAGGATTGAATAATGTTTTGAATGCAGTGTAATCGCCTCGTGACAGGAATCTTAACGCAGAACTTGTGTTGAAGAAACTTTATTTCGGATGGGACACTTGAGATACAATTTAGTTAAATTATTCTGAGGTACAACTCATTGTTCTTCATTATTCAGATTGGTTAAAGCTTCAGTTTTAATTGTTTCAACCTATGGACATTAGCTAATCAAATGATGTTAGCTTATCAAATGCAGCTACTCTGATCTTTAACATTATAGATTTTCTAGCATTAAACACTCTTGGTAAATTAATCTTAAACATTTCAGATCATCTGACATCAAATACTCTGTATACTCTGGCCTCAAACGCTGTGAATCTTGTTCTCAAGATTCTGGATCGTCCGTCAAACACTCTGGATATTCTAACCTCAAACATTGTGGATTCTTTGAATTGCAACATTCTGGATCATCGGACATCAAACGGTCTAAATATACCGACGTTCCACACCTTCTAAACACTCTTGATCTCCTACTATCTCCTTTAACATTCTGGATCTTCGCTTTGAATACACGTGATTTGCGAATTTTATTTAAGACAAGTCTTTATGTGTCTGTACTTGAAATGTCTGAAACACAATGACCGAAATGGCACAAATACTCGAGCACCTGATCAATCGGTCACGTAACGTTTGTGATGCAAGCCGAATTAAAATTCCAAGTGGGAGGTTTCATGTAACGAAAGCGATCCACTTTTCATACAAATTTCCAGCGAATGGCTAGCCAGTGAACTTTTACTGAAAAAGGGCGTAGTGACTAGATCGATTGCATACGGTTGCGGAGAGCCGAGATATAGCATTGTTATACAGTTGACCTTTATCGCGTGGCCCTCCCCTTGTTCTTTTTCCCGAGCCGAGTTTCCCACGGGACCTTAGATCTTGCTCTCTGAACTGTCTTCCATGTGTGCGAGCAATTTTCATTTAATCTATATGCATACCCCGTGTGTCAATAAAATGTTACACGGTTTTATGGCTTTTGCGGTGAACGCGATCACGCTAAGGATCTCTCGTAGATAATTAAATGTAAGCAACATTATGAATATGTTACACTCTTTACGGGATCCAGATGAAGATTCTGCTTACTTTCCATCACGCGTCGGGGCGTTCTTGCATGTGCGAAATCAGCGCTGTAATTGTATAAGAAACATTGGATGAAAGTTTATGTTCCAAGACTTTTGTATGTCGAATTGGAGAAAAATATCATGAAAGTGGATCGTTGTTTTTACTACGCGGAACAGATTTAATTCGTTCTGATACTCTACTTTAGGTAGAGTCACAAAACAGCTGAACACCTGTGTCTGGGACCGCTTAAGTAAATGATCTGAGTATCTGTGTATTCAAGTATCTAATTGCTGAATTACTTGATTAACTAAACACCTGAATATATGAATACATACTCAATATGTATAGCTCTAAGTACCTGAAGTACTGCAGCAAGAGTGTGAGTTTATGAAATCATTATGCAAAATGTTAGAGTAGAACCTAAAACATAAGAGTATATTAAAAGTTCTGAGTACCTGAAGTACTTAAGCAAGAATGTGAGTGTATAAAATATTATCCAAAATGTTAGAGTAGAACCTAAGTCATAAGAGTGTACTAAAAGTTTTAAGTACCTAAAGTACTTAAGCAAGTTATCCAAAATGTTAGAGTAGAACCTATAAAACTTAAGAGTATACTAAATGTACTTACTCATACTCAGTAGCCATTTAGTATTTATGAAATGATTGAACTAAATAGCTCCTAACCACACACATACTGAAGTCACAAAATTTCATTTCTAGATGATGCTTTTTGTGGGATTTTAATGAGCTGAAGCGGTCAAATAGCTTGCCATCTGCTCGTTAAACCGCTTATTGGTCATACTCGAAGGATTACGGCGCTGCAAAGGATGCTCATCGAGCTCGAGGAAGATTTACCCTGACCCACTTCCGGTCAAGTTCATTGCTCATCCATGGCACGCTGGCCTTACCTTGCACGACTGCCATTCTTCGCCTCTTCCTGATTCTTTCTCTTGCTCTCTATTCACCAACCGGCTCATCTTGCGAATCTTGACGCCTCCGCTTTGACTAAACAGTAGAGCGAGAATAGCATTGATCATCGTCCCTCGGTAAATTATGCTCGGAGAGTGAATATCTCGAATTGCGAAATGTATCGCGGTGTGAAGACAGCCTCGGATAGTAATTGAGAAGTATCAGATTTAGAAAGTATGTATCTTTCACCGTGACTCATCGTGCTCGTTCAGCTACATTCTTTAAGAACAAATTTATCAATTGTTAAATATCAATTTGATTCTTTTATGTGAATTGTAAACTTAGGAATCAATCAAAAATATTTGTAGAGAGGTTAATGTTTGTATGGTAATTAATCTTCAGATAATGAAGTGATGTTTGATGCTGTGTTAATAATTATTATTAATATTTAGAGCAAAGTAATTACAATATAGCAACGTTGTACATATTGATATCTAGAGCAAGACAATTAGACAATTAGACTGTTAATATCTAAATACTCTGTTATTGATATCCAGCCCAATTAGAGTAATCTTCAAATGCACGGTAGCATGTTAATAATTATTGTTAATACTGCAATGAGAAATTCTTAATGAATGAAACATAATTGATACCCAAACCGAGCATAAATTCACCGAAAAAGGACACCATGATTTCAAATGCAAATACAAGTATTTATGATGCATAAACGGTAAAGTTCCTTTTCATACTAATCAGATATTCATTAAGCTCATTCATGTTGCGATCACATAAATTACCCTTAATTGCAGCGCATTTGTTTTCAATTATCCAGGAGTCCGTATTTTAATAAACGAGGATCGAATCGTGCCACGTGTCCAGAATCGAAGGCAATTTTAACGAACAGTCTACTTGCGGAAGCGTTTATTACCTGCGTCACGAACACCTGTTAAAAACTCATCGCGGAAGGTAATTAGTCTAAATTAGCAACTCTGTTCGCGTTCGTTGTAACGCGATGGTAAATCAGACGCTTCATTTAACGCGCTATCTAGCTTGAATCTAAACTCATCAGATAGACCTGATCTTTGTTCTTCTAATTGTCAAGGGCAATGTAATACGTTTGCAGATTAACATAATTAAGAAAATGATCACTTAATTAGACACATATATAATACATGATAATTGAGCGCATTAATATTCCTGTAGAATTATTCTGTGCATAGATAATGTTCAGTGATTAAGTTTCTTTAGTAATGCAATTAGAAATAGAAGAATGTAGAGATATTAATTATATGTACATGTTATAATAATGAAATTCACCGAAAAAGGACACCATGATTTCAAATGCAAATACAAGTATTTATGATGCATAAACGGTAAAGTTCCTTTTCATACTAATCAGATATTCATTAAGCTCATTCATGTTGCGATCACATAAATTACCCTTAATTGCAGCGCATTTGTTTTCAATTATCCAGGAGTCCGTATTTTAATAAACGAGGATCGAATCGTGCCACGTGTCCAGAATCGAAGGCAATTTTAACGAACAGTCTACTTGCGGAAGCGTTTATTACCTGCGTCACGAACACCTGTTAAAAACTCATCGCGGAAGGTAATTAGTCTAAATTAGCAACTCTGTTCGCGTTCGTTGTAACGCGATGGTAAATCAGACGCTTCATTTAACGCGCTATCTAGCTTGAATCTAAACTCATCAGATAGACCTGATCTTTGTTCTTCTAATTGTCAAGGGCAATGTAATACGTTTGCAGATTAACATAATTAAGAAAATGATCACTTAATTAGACACATATATAATACATGATAATTGAGCGCATTAATATTCCTGTAGAATTATTCTGTGCATAGATAATGTTCAGTGATTAAGTTTCTTTAGTAATGCAATTAGAAATAGAAGAATGTAGAGATATTAGTTATATGTACATATAATAATAATGTAGTTATATGTACATATAATAACAATGTAATTATATGTACATGATTTATAACTGATCATTACCTATTTTGATAAGGAAGATCCTAGTTACATAATTACAAACAATTTTGTCAACTACTCCAAAAAAGTCTTACAAATTTTATAAAAGTTTCAACAAAACAAAATGAAGCATTGCACAAAAAAAAATCTGATGATTTTATCATTGAGTAACATTACCAAATACATTCCTAAGAGTGTTGCCATATGGCGTAAGATCCCCAAATTGCACTACCTTACAATTACACAATTAGAAGAAGAGTACGTGCATTAATTCGCGCAGCGCCCTTTCGTCCTCGAGCCAGAAGCGTTTTAGAGAAAAAAAAGTAGAAAAGAAGGTTGGAGTGGTCTTCTGAGAATTCTCTGCTGATGGCGTGCGCCTCCCGGCGAGAATCTTCCGTAATTTCATTGCTTCTCCCTAAAGTACTGGTAAATTGTGTTCCGTTTCTTACAGTTCCGACGGTGGCTGCCAATAAAGAAAGAAAATCGAGGTTTCATAAAGTGCATCCTGACACGAGCGGAAACGAGTAAACAGGAAGGATTGCGGCAATTCGTGAAGGACCTTTCCGTGGTATACGACAGAAGAGTCATCCTGTGTTGTGCAATTTTAATCGAACCGCTATGGGACAATTCAGGCTCCTCAAGGAACGAATATACGGGATGTTGAGGAAAAGGTTAAACAGATTCTAATGAAATGAGCGGTGATGAAGAAACTATGAGGAAAGAGACGTATAGAGACTTTTGTAGAAGTTATAGCGTTAGGTATAGATTAGATACTGAGTTATTAAATATCAAATACCAAGCATTGTATTATAATATAAGGAACACTAAATACTAAATGATTGACTCAATATTAAAGACTCAAAGTACTATTAATACCTCAGAAGTATTAAATAGAATATCAGTTACTGAAACAAAATGTCAAGTACTTGGCACCACATAGTTTTCTAAATTCCAAATACTAGATGTATATCTGAATCATTTAGTCCTATGTTGTACAACAATTTTCTGCGTGAATACGATTTCAGACGAATCAATAGAATGTTTCGAATTTAGTTGAATATAAACGAGGTGCGCATTGATCTCGGTTATCTAGGCCTGTTGAGCTACTAGTATCTTTCCCTTTCACTGCTACCATGCAGAAAAATCCGCTAGAACTCTGCACGTATACTGCGTTCGCTTTTCGCTGTGTGCGCGCTGGCCGGTTTAATACGGTCACGTGTGCACGTTCATGTCACGCCGGTATAAACGAGAATGACAAAATCTTCCAGATGAAAGGAATCTCGTTTCGTGTTCCTTATACTGTTTCATAGTTTCGAGAAGTAAGCGTATCAAGGAAAAGAAAGGCTTTGTTTTAACTTTATGAATACTATACTGAGTTTATTGATCGTTCCTCGGCTTCGGATAAAACCGTGCAGCTTTCTTCTTGTATATTCGATATTCGCTTTAAAGTCTGAGCTCGTAACTTTGTACGTGAAGTATCCTGATATTGAGATTATGATTATTACTGTTATTATGATTTTTACTATGCTTTTTATGTAGTGTTCAATGTATTAGTTAAATGGAGAACTGGCAGATATTGAACACTGACGGGTATATAGTAGTTGAAACATTATTAATTTGGTACTTGGTATTTTACTATTTAGTGTACACACTGAGGGCTAAATAGTACTTGAAGCATTATAAATTTAGTATTTGGTATTTCATTCAATATAAACACTGAGAACTAAATAGTACTTGACACACTATAAATTTGGTACTTGGTATTTTACTATTTAGTGTACACATTGATGGCTGAATAGTACTTGAAGCATTATAAATTTAGTATTTGGTATTTCATTCAATATAAACACTGAGAACTAAATAGTACTTGACACACTATAAATTTGGTACTTGGTATTTTACTATTTAGTGTACACATTGAGGGCTGAATAGTACTTGAAGCATTATAAATTTAGTATTTGGTATTTCATTCAATATAAACACTGAGAACTAAATAGTACTTGACACACTATAAATTTGGTACTTGGTATTTTACTATTTAGTGTACACATTGAGGGCTGAATAGTACTTGAAGCATTATAAATTTAGTATTTGGTATTTCATTCAATATAAACACTGAGAACTAAATAGTACTTGACACACTATAAATTTGGTACTTGGTATTTTACTATTTAGTGTACACATTGAGGGCTGAATAGTACTTGAAGCATTATAAATTTAGTATTTGGTATTTCATTCAATATAAACACTGAGAACTAAATAGTACTTGACACACTATAAATTTGGTACTTGGTATTTTACTATTTAGTGTACACATTGAGGGCTGAATAGTACTTGAAGCATTATAAATTTAGTATTTGGTATTTCATTCAATATAAACACTGAGAACTAAATAGTACTTGACACACTATAAATTTGGTACTTGGTATTTTACTATTTAGTGTACACATTGAGGGCTGAATAGTACTTGAAGCATTATAAATTTAGTATTTGGTATTTCATTCAATATAAACACTGAGAACTAAATAGTACTTGACACACTATAAATTTGGTACTTGGTATTTTACTATTTAGTGTACACATTGAGGGCTGAATAGTACTTGAAGCATTATAAATTTAGTATTTGGTATTTCATTCAATATAAACACTGAGAACTAAATAGTACTTGACACACTATAAATTTGGTACTTGGTATTTTACTATTTAGTGTACACATTGAGGGCTGAATAGTACTTGAAGCATTATAAATTTAGTATTTGGTATTTCATTCAATATAAACACTGAGAACTAAATAGTACTTGACACACTATAAATTTGGTACTTGGTATTTTACTATTTAGTGTACACATTGAGGGCTGAATAGTACTTGAAGCATTATAAATTTAGTATTTGGTATTTCATTCAATATAAACACTGAGAACTAAATAGTACTTGACACACTATAAATTTGGTACTTGGTATTTTACTATTTAGTGTACACATTGAGGGCTGAATAGTACTTGAAGCATTATAAATTTAGTATTTGGTATTTCATTCAATATAAACACTGAGAACTAAATAGTACTTGACACACTATAAATTTGGTACTTGGTATTTTACTATTTAGTGTACACATTGAGGGCTGAATAGTACTTGAAGCATTATAAATTTAGTATTTGGTATTTCATTCAATATAAACACTGAGAACTAAATAGTACTTGACACACTATAAATTTGGTACTTGGTATTTTACTATTTAGTGTACACATTGAGGGCTGAATAGTACTTGAAGCATTATAAATTTAGTATTTGGTATTTCATTCAATATAAACACTGAGAACTAAATAGTACTTGACACACTATAAATTTGGTACTTGGTATTTTACTATTTAGTGTACACATTGAGGGCTGAATAGTACTTGAAGCATTATAAATTTAGTATTTGGTATTTCATTCAGTATAAACAGTGAGAGCTAAATAGTACTTGTAACTATTATAAATTTGTCATGTGGTATTTTACTATTCAGTGTTCAGTGTGATGTTAGCTTCTATAGAACATATTTAGGACTTCAATATCTAATTCTTGATGTCTACTTTTTTACTACTCATACATCATGGCATAACCATAATATATGCATAGGAGACCCTCACATTCTGATTTAGTATCCACTAGACAGCATTTAATAAAAATTTTTAAATTGATTGTAGGTATCAAGTTCGAAGATAAAATTTTTCTTTCGTCACATGGGTGCAGCGTGAATCGCGAATTACAAAATGCACGAGACAATGGGGAAGACGTATTATCTCGCATAGGTCTTATTTAGCACACAAGGAGGACGAAGGGAGGTGATTTTCAACGCATCAAACATTGGCTCAAGTACGTGGGAGAAGAGGAGGAGGCCCCAGTGTAATCATCAGCATGCCGTGTATCCGGGCATTCAATTCGAGGATTCTCCTCGCCCTCCTTCGGGGATCTTCTTCATTGTGCATACGTCTCCTCTTAGCGCTTTCGCAACGTGAACGGCCAGGACCAGGATCCAATCATTAGGGGAAAAATGCGCATCCCAACAAAACGATCGGAAGTGTAATCGATTCTTAGCGGATAAAGATTGATGTTACGACAGTTAATTGTAGGGTGATAATTTTCTCCATTCAAATCGCATGAAGGATATTGCGTGATAATAATAGCACGAGAGATGCATTTAATGTTTTCATCGCTTCCGAAGGAATTGTGCTTACTGCTAATTATTCTGTAATTAGAGAAATGAAAGAGAACCTTTGTACTAAGCATATTACCAGAGGTATACATTTGTTAAGATATTTTTAGATTTGCAAAACCTTTGTACTTTTAAATTAGGCACTTTTCTAATCTTGTGTTTCTTAGGTCACCGCCTCCTTGGAATGCGTGATATAATACACTTAAGACTGATGTCGCCAAGGAAGTCTACATGTGTTTCTTGACAGGAAGCAAAACCATATGACACCTTTGTCGAAGACAGTCCTCGATGCCAATAATGAATATCGATGGAGAAGTTACATAACGGTATAACGTTACCAGTTAGGCTACCATTTCATTCCAGTTAACAGAATATCGTTACTATTACGGCTAATTGTACAAGTATTACAGTTTAGCTCAGTGACCGACATTTAACGATCGTACCATTGTAATCGCGCAGATAGTCGTATAATCACGATAGTTCTAATGATATGAAATTTGTGGTAGATCCAGAAAACGCTTTAGAGTGTATCGGACACATAATAGAGGAATTCCTGTTGGGTTACGTGGATAGAGCGTAAGAAATCGAATGGCAATCAGTCGTGGTGGAACGATCGCAAAAAAGTGAATTGAACGGTGATCAAGCCTCACGCTCTATTGTCAGGAAATGCATTGGCGTCGCCGCACTATAGCGGCTATTATCGGGTTTTCTTACTGTATATCACGCTGTGAAGGGAAGTGGCTTTCCCTGCCCTTGTTTCGAAACTGTCATATCCCTTGCTTTATTGCCTCTTCAAGTAATAACGTTAGATTTATCGTTAACCATCATATACCTTGACATTAACGTTTTAAATCGATATTTGCATTATTAAAATCTTTCTTCCAGATGATGAAAATCTTTCATCATTATCAGGATTTGATTACCCGTTTCCTTTCATTAATCTTCAAGATTATAATAGGAGGAAGATTAATATCTTTGTGGTAATATTTCAAATTATGGGAATCTGATAATTATCATCTTGTGTTTCAAATTATTATCCGCAAAAAATGTATTAATGTTACATGGTTGTACTCATTGCTAGGAATATTTGGATACAGGTAATCTTTGTTGTAACAAGACTCTACAATGTTTTTATGTGTCTACAATGTTTTTATATTTATTTTATATGACATTGCATTGAATGTTACTGTATGACTTGCTTCTAGGTTTATTTGAAATATCATAAGTGTCTGATACTTGTGTCCTGAGTGCCGACCGAGTGACTGACCCACGATTCCTTTGAGAACTTGCATAACCGAGCCACGTACTACAACCGCCTCTCACTTCGTTTGATACTGTCCGATTTTATTCGGGCTAACATGTGCCTCGTACACCGAGGTTGAAATTCGTCCAGCAGGCTGTGACGACGCTTGCATAGTTTACCAGAAGAAATTCAGTGCGCCTATAATGTTACACTGATTTATTTTACTACCGAATTAGGCTTTGCTATTGTGTTATACTAATGTCTGCGTGCTTATCCGCTGATGTGATTCTATGATTTATAGTACTGTATTGTTATACTCCTAAAGCGGTAAACTAGTGAATCAGATTTACTATTACCCTGCTACAGGATTATTCTATTACGTAGATCTGTAGTATAGATTAACTGCTATGAGTAATAGCTCTCTGCTCTATTGTAGTATCTTAGTAGTTCAGTAGTATTGTAGGCATGATGTAGTAAATATTAATGATATAGAATGAAAGAATGTAACTTTAGTAGTATCATAAAATGGTACTGAAATACTAAAGGGTTATAATGAATTAGACATATCTCATAAAGTATACAATTGTCTGTGCTTGCAGAAAAGTAGGCTTTCATTATAGCATATGTAGTAGCCTAACTGTATAGTAGTGTACAATAATTATGCTATAAGTGCAGGTTACATATACAAAGTGCTGTACCCATTAGTACTCTAGTCCATAAACATTGTAAAAGGCAAATGAATTGAGTCAATGTTTAACAATTACAGGAGCATCTACAAGGGAAAGCATTAATAAGAGCACAATTCTACCAGGCAGGAAAATCCAGCGTTTCGAACGGTTTATTGAATTCTGAGCGTAGAAAACGTTCGTCAAACTTTTAGAGCAGAAAAGAAAACTATTAAAAGCGCTGCGACTGTAACTGGATGGTATCGAGTGCCGGTAATGGAAACACTTTTACAACCGACATTTTATCAATTTCTAATTACACGCGTAAACGTTGCGAGAACGAATAATAAAATGGAAAAACGTTTCCTTCATATTAGCACGGTACTTTCTACTTTTTGAGTCAACTTGACCTTACTGCCCTCTGGTACGTTGGTCTTTCATTCTCTAATGAAAATACGTTAAAAATAATATTCTTGGGAATTTAACTAACTTTCGATGTACAACCTCGTATTTTCTCCTCGCAATTCGGTGTATTTAATTAACAGAATTTAACAGTGCGTGGACACTTTCACCGCGTCACCCATAGCTCTTTGCTTTCCATCGTGCTGGAATTGGCAAATTAATGTCTATTACGAAGGCTGCACGCGTCTTCCTGATCGACGAATGACAGATAGAAATCAGAACCGTATTCGTTATGAAAGGTCATTTTTCTGCATGGCTATTCCGATATCTATCTAGTCATTCACACTTCTTTAATAATACAGGAATTCAGTGAGTTGTTTTCACCTGCTATGTTACATTATTAGTACACTTTGTGTGACAGCATAGTTTTAAGAAACTATTATAACATTACAACACTATAACATTAAAAAAGCTGTAACTAGTTAATATTTTATAATGGTATAGTTGTTACAATTATATAAATAAATGTATCTTTATAATCATATTATATATACTACATTTATGGTATAAATATTGTACACTACTATACAGTTAAGCTACTACATATTGCTACATGTTATATTATAATGAAAGATAAGAAAAGTAAATTATTTTTTAATTACAGGTACTATTGTACAAGTGCTCAGAACAATCTTTGAGTGTGGATTATACTGTACAGAGAAGAGATTTTTCAGTGAAAGCAAACGGTAGCTAAAGGATCAAATCGTAACGTTTGATCGATGCATCGTATTCAGTCAGCTCCATGAAATGAAACTTTGTTGTCCTATGTACGTGAAACGTGTTCAACTTCTGCAAATCCGGACAGGTTTGATTGCGCAAAGGTGAGCCAGTAAATAACTTCTGGGAAAATGTTCTTTTCGAGAAAGACGTAAACATGTACTTTGACTTCCATGAAAAGTACGCTGGAACCCAAAAGTAGTTGCAGAGTAAACTAATACCATTGTAAACACTTTGTACAGATGTTCGTTGCCATTGCCGACATATTGTGCGCCTTGTGTGGCAGAATTGCCATATTGGACATTTGGAACTTCTGAGGATGCGAAATTTTCATGTGTGGGAACTTGAGGATGTGCACATTTGAAAATTTAGGAAACTTGAGAGTTTGGAAATTAGAAACATATGCAACTGTATAAATTATTGTTCTAAAGTGAGTTGTGTGAAGTAACCTACATTCTACCTTCCTCATGCTGCATACTTAGGATCCATCCACATTCTGTAAGGGATGTAAACCTACCTTATGTTGTTTATGTTGGTTTTGTACCTTATGTAGCTATGTATCTTATGTAGCTATGTACTTTATGTAGATATGTACCTTATGTATCTATGTACCTTATGTAGCTATGTACCTTATGTATCTATGTACTTTATGTAGCTATGTACCTTATGTAGCTTTGTACCTTATGTAGCTATGTACCTTATGTATCTATGTACCTTATGTAGCTATATACCTTATGTATCTATGTACCTTATGTAGCTATGTATCTTATGTAGCTATGTACCTTATGCAGCTATGTACCTTATGTAGCTATGTACCTTATGTAGCTATGTAATTTATGTATGTATGTACCTTATGTAGCTATGTACCTTATGTAGCTATATACCTTATGTAGCTATATACCTTATGTAGCTATGTATCTTATGTAGCTGTATACCTTATGTATCTATGTACCTCATGTAGTTATGTACCTTGTAGCTACGCCACTGGCCATAAACAAGTAAATTGTTTCTCGTTTACAAAAGAAAATCAGATCACTCTCAGTTGTAGCGATCAGAGGATCGCCTGCCGACCATACTCTCACCAATCGGTGCTAGAATTTCTCTAACAAAAATGTGTTGCTTTCAGGCCGCCCAAGACAAAGAGTGGGACTCGTGTTTGATGGACAGTATCAGCTGGAAAAAGCTACTTATCTGGAATTGTCTCAGGCATATACCGGTTCGCCAAGGGGCCAATCGAAGGAGAGGCTTTCTCCTGGATCACGGTCTGTCGGTGTTCCTTCGCACGGAGTCTCCACAACTTCTGGAGGGGATATCTATATAGTCTGTCCATTCCGGCTGAGCCCCTTCAAACTGTTCACGATCCTAAGCCCGTGTACGCGTATTGCCAGCCCGTGTATCTATCGAGATCAATCGCGATTTAACCGGTGCTCTCCACGAGATCCTCTTTGAGAAGTTACCGGCGAAAGAACAAACAGAGGAGAAAAAAGGTTACCGCGGTAGAGAGAGGCGTGTAAAGGGGCATGGCTCGAGCGTGGTGCGTTGTGAGAAAGTGCAACAGAGAACAGTAACGCGCGAAACGTAACCGAGTCGTGAGGTTTTTGACCGGAAGTCGGAAAGGAGAGACGCGGGAGTTGCTTGAGCAGTACGCTGGTACAGGATATACTCTGCACCATGGTGAGTGATAGTTGTAGACGCTTTGAACGCTCTGGAGTTAGGAGATGTCACGCAGAATTTAAGGGAAGGTTCAGGAGAGCTTAAGGACTCAGGAGGACCTAGGGAGAGTTTAAGGAGAACTTAAGGTTTGAGGAGTTTGGGACATAGAGCTTTGGATATGGAGGAGACTGAGGAGCTTAGGATCTGCTAGCTTAAGACTTAATGGAAGTCTTACTAGAGGAGTTCAGAATTTAGGAGAGTAAAAGAGAGAGTTTACGATGTAGGCAGGACTTAGGATTTAGGAAAATATGGAACTTAAAAAAAATTGTAATGTAACAAGAGATTAGAGAGGGCTAGGATTTATGCAAGCATAGTTCCATGAAAACTTAGAGGCTACTCTAGAACTGTAGAACTTGCAAGATCTATGATCTGAGAGTTCAATACTTTATAGTCTAAAACTTATAGATAATCAAAACCATATGGAGAATCTAAGTTCAAGGAAGTTAGCATCTAAAAGAGTCTATGACTTAAGAGATCCTATTATCTAAGCAGAACCTAGGGAAAGTGTAAGACCTTAAAAGTGTTTAGAATGTAAGATTTCAAAGAGATAGCTAAAGAATATGGAGTTCCTAGGTCCAAGGGTCTAAGTAAAGTCAAAGTGAAATTTTCAGACCCGTTCCTTTCACGTATATGGTGCAAAGTGTGAACGGTTAACTTTGGTATAATTTCTTCATTAGAATTTTGTTACATAACAAATTTATGTAATGATTTGACCCAAATGAACGAACCAGTAATTCTTCACTTCGTTAGTTCTGTCTGCGGATTTCCAGGATGTCGTTCTTTAATTCCGGTGCTATACGCTTTCCACCGGCGACTTTAAAGTGGATCGTGCGTTGACTAACGCCCACGCGTGCATGGAATAAGGGAACCAAACTGTGGAAAGCAACATTCCTCTTTATTTCGCTAATCCTCCTACGTTCATCGGAAAAGTTTGAATGATCAGTGGTGCATTAAAATGGACTCTAACGTTTTAATGGAACTTGCGAGTTTCAGTTCATTAAATGTCACCGAATGTATCTTAACACCTTAGTTAATCAATATATAAATATATTGCGATTAGCTGCAGTTAGTTAATGATAAAAATATTAATGGAAGACTTAAGACTTAATAGAAGACTTAAGTACTGAAGATTAGATAGGATCTTGTTTGAACTCGAAAAGAAATCTCGATCGAAGAAATCAAGTTTCCCGGCGCACAAAGAAAAAGGCAGCACCGAGATCAGGTAATAGGCAAAATTGAAGCTGGATGCTCTGCTATTCGCCCTGCGGGAAGGAAATGGGGGTCAGTATGTGAACAGCTTCGCTCCTTATGTCGCAATTCATGAGGTCGAACGTTTTCATCTTCAGATCCTCTTACCATTCTTCTTTCTCTTCTTTTCTTGGAAAATTCAGCCATCATTTGAAACCCTAGGATCATTTATTATTCCCTCTACCTTTGAATACTTACCATATCAATGGTACAAAATGCTCCTGTTCAAGGTAAAATCATATGCAATGTATTACTATTATTACAGAATTTATTAAAGTACATAACTAAAAATTCTTACTCTTTTTAGGTTTTGTAATTGTCAAGCTTTATATGCACATACTCTACATGCACACATATTGCACAGAAGAAATAAAACAGAACAAAATATATTAAATTCTAGTTAAGTAAGTTTAGAAGTATGGTTACATTTAGTGGATCAAAATTTAATGCATGAAGCAAAGTGATGAAATTATTTTATGGATGTAGAAGAAACCATCAAAGATTTCCAACGATGGCGATTAAAAGACACGGTATCTGGCGGCCAGAATATTAACGATCTTTCCCCGGCAAACGGAAAGATGGGCCATAAGAATAAAAAATAAAACTCGCTACTGAAACGGTGAGATCGAAATCTATCGCCGCGCGCAACAGACTTAATAGACAATGAAGATTTGCGGGCGCGATAAGTCGAACCGCAGGAATCCCTTTTCAGTTTTCACGTAGCTCCTTTGTTGAAAGTTTTGCCGATGAATTCGTGGTAATTACACGTGTTGCGCAACACCGCGGTTCTTATTACAATATCCATATTGTTGGACCGTAGAAAGCGTCCAATTACACTTGGACCGCGTAAACCGTTGTTGCGGTTCGTGCAACCAAATCAAATCGACGATTGGGCAAACGAGCCCTAGTTGACCCTACAAGTATTTATTAGCGAAACGGTACGTGTTCGAAAGCGACTCTACCTTTTCGCCACGTTGGAATTCGTTTGTTGGGTACTAGGAAACGTTTCCACTTTAGGAACAAGTGACTCAATTTTAACAAAATTATTCTCTACAGAAATGGTTGTGGACGCAATCATTAATTATAGCGAATTGTTAAAGTAATTTAAGTAATACAATTCTTGTGTTTGCGCCTGTTTTGGAAACTTGAGTTGTAACTTCAAACATTTGCAGGTTATTTGAATATTTGGACGAAGTAAGAAAAAGTTTTTCCTAACCTTAGAAGCTAAGAAAAGGTTTTTCCTAACCTTAGGAGCTAGGAAAATCTGGGGAGAACCTGCGAAGCGTTGTAGTCTAGGGTTGAGTGAGAGGCTGTGTTTCAAGGCTGGGACCAAGTTACAGTTCTTGAAAAGAATAGCGCATTATAGCGTGAGAAAGCAACCTTCTTATTCTTTTGTTAATCTTTGGTAAACATAGAGCCACGGTATTTGGGATTTCCGTGTGATTGGATATCGATACTCGACCACACCAGTTGGCTTCTGTGGTCTACTACGTAGCCAAGACCTAGTTTGAAGGGTTAGCAATGATACTTAGGGACCTGGTGAATGTCTCCATTGTTGAACTTCAAAGTTGTACAGTTATGATTAATGTTAGTATGACCTGCTGATGAAGGTTGTTAACTGCAGGTCCAGTATTTGGATGAATGATGATGATATTAGTTGGAACTGTTGTATGTAAGCTACATTCTTGTAAAATATGAGGCCCTTAGATAATCTTATCTTATAAGTATAAAATAGTTAGCTTATTTTATAAGTCTTATTGTTTATTAGATAATGTATCATATACACTGATAAAATAAGTAAAGTACCTGAAACTGTTTAAATATCAATATCAATAACAATAGATTAATGTTATTTAGGTATCACAATATCTGATCACACATAAATTCTAAACAGAACATAATCTCTAAGAGAATTAATTTTACAATTTTATGTATGAGTATGTTAATACATAAAATTACTTCAGACACTATATCCTAACTCTTAACCACCATGATTTAGAGATACAATATACACAATCCATGTATTAAACATAAGCAAATAGCTTTCTGATTATTGTACACAATAATTTCAAGCAGAGAGACTTAACCTCAATAAATATCCAATCATGGTACTTAAGGGTTAATCCAGTTACCATAAACATCCAGTATAAATACTCAGAAACTCTTTCATCCTACAGAAATCATGAAAGACATGCGTGAAGCAAATTGAGAACGTAAGATCAGAAGTGGTCCAGCTGTTGACCAAAAAGTTTGAAGGCGAAAGTATGTACTCGAGGAGAAGAAAGTTCTGTCACTGAACATGCTAAGTGGAACGGACGGTACTTCCGAAGAGAAGAAATTGGGTTCATTTAGGAACAGGACGTGAGAAAGGAAGTTTCAATCGTTCGTTTCGCTTCGATTCGTACAAGAACACAATAATTCGGAACTGTAAAGCGTGTATCTCTGATATTGGAAGCTATAAGGTTGCGTAATTGCTGGCGTATAATGGATGAGCGTATTATGACATAACCGATTGGACCGTGCGATGGGAATGATACATTGTTTTCCGAGCGATAGTTTACTTTCGAATCTGTTTTTGCGTTTGATCGATGCGACTTTTTGTCCCTTTAACGATTTTATTTAACCTTGTTTCTGAGTCTATCTTGAGTCACGTTGCACAAACGTATAAGACTACATACTATATAGTTTTACATAGAAGATATTAGTAAATCTTTGGATTTTAATATTTATACTATGTAGTTTTATATAAAAGATATTAGTAAATCTTTGGATTTCAATATTTCTACTATATAATTTTACATAAAAGGTATTAGTAAATCTTTGAATTTTAATATTTAATATATTAGTATTTAATATTAAAATTTAAAACTTAAAAATGTTTATGAATACAAATATAAATGCAGAGTATTAGTAAACTTGAAAATCGGAGAATATGAAACTGAATTTGTAAATTAAACTTCCGTGTATTACATAACCTACAATTGGAAGCGATAGAATTGTTTCGAAAACTCATTAGGATCTACGAATGAATCCAATTCTCACAAAATGAGATTCTCTGCAAACTTTCCCACCGATTCATTCTCGAACATAATCACAGAAATTCTTTCAAAAATATGAACCTCTTGAGATTAATTATCATAATGAAGCTAATATCAATATCGTATGATAATATCGAATTAGCTTTACGATAAGTAAGCTCTGTAATTATACCACATTCTCGGTCCATATTTGCTTCTTAATTAAGTCCGTATTTGTCTTCGGTTAGAGGTAATTAGAGCGGAGTCTATTAATTGACCCATTATCAATCCACAAATTATCCCTTTATTCACTGAAATGTACAATGAAACTCGTTTGATTAGCTACTAGTTTTATAGCTAAAATTACTTGATAATCAAAGAGTCGTTAAAAGAAAAAATTACAGAAGTACTGAAGTATATGAATTGAGAATGTGGCGACTTTTATGTGCAAACGTTAGCTTTAAAAAGTTCAGCAGGACAAGTGCTACTTTCTGCTTCTGGTTAACACCAGAATACTTCGATGAACCGTGAAACACGATAAAAGTAGGATACATGTGCCGGTGCAAGAACCTGTTACACAGCCAGAGAAAGCTTTGATTCGTTCCAACTGTGAACTCTGAACCTTACATACCGACTTATATTTCTTCTACGAAATGGAACTGCTTTTTTAATGTTACGTACTTTGCGCTTGGGAGT